AAAGCAGTAGGAGGAGTAGTTCAGGACAAGCTGGCCCCTGACTGTCTGCCTGGTGTGGGAGGAAAATCAAGGGCCTAGGAGCCCACCCATGGGAGTTGAGAAGAGGAGTCTGTCTGAAAAATGGGGGAGATGGAGAAGGGAGAGGCATTCTGTGAGGTAAAGGGCAGATTCGTTGGCTCCACACTCCTTCACCTTATCCCACCTCTGCTTCCCGGGGGATTTCCCACTTTTATTGCCTCACCCCATTGCAAATATTCTGCCATCTGCAGTAGAGTAAAGCTGACTGTGATCCAGCACAGGTTTGTAATCAGGAAGCAGAGCCAGAGCCGAGCAGTGAGGGATGCTTCAGAGCATGGCGTTGTTGCATGTGGCTATGCAGCTCTTAGTTGTGACCCAGAGCTACTCCCAAGGAATATGTGGGCTGTAGAATTAAAGACTCAATTCCAGACCCTCTGAACAGGCTTCTAGGGAAGCAGTGTCACCAGGGGAAATGTTTGCTGTGAAATGACCGATGAACACATGTTGCTGTGACCAGCTTCCCACATAGGGATGTAAGCGACTAGTCAACTACCCGATAAGCATATGCTTATTAGTCGAGTAGTGACCCGACTAGTTGCTTCCCTCCCCTCCCACTTTGCTGCCTTGATCAGAAAGAGGCAGCAAGGGGGAGGGAGAACAGGAGCCAATGCTGAGGGGAGCTTGTTTAAAAGCCGGTTCCCCACAGCACCATCTCCGTGGGGAGGCATAGGCATAGTGGGGGGCCAGGAGCTAACCCCACGGTGGCTCTGCAGTTTCCACTCTTTTCGACTACTCGATTAGTCGAAGGAAATTCCATTAACTACTCAATGAGCTGATAAAATGCAATTTAACGTTTCTGTTTCCACAGTGAGGCTACGTCTAGACTACATGGCTCCGTTGACAGAGCCATCTAAAATAGTTTATTCAGCATAGTCAAAGAAGCGGGGGTTTAAATAATCCCTGCTTCATTAAAATAAAAATGGCCGCCACGCTGTGCCGACGATCAGCTGATCTGGCACAGCGCAGAAGTCTAGACGCAGCGCAGTCAACAAAGGAAGCCTTTGTCGACTGCTCCGGTATGCCTTGTGAAATAGTACAATAAACTATTTTACGTGGCTCCATTGACAGAGCCATGTAGTCTAGATGTAGCCTGAGTGTCTGGAAGTGGTCTGGGGCCCTTTAACTGGGCAGCAGCTTCAGTATGAGAAGAGCAAGTACTGTTGGTCCATTCAGCCAAGTCTAGAGGAACCCTTAAAGTAGGATCCCTGAGCCTGGCTCACCACAGGCCCCTTCTTTTTGCATTCAGTTGTCCCAAAAGAGCAGAGGCTGCAAGCTGTCCAGGCAGCGGTCGTCCTGATGCCAGATGAGAACCGGGAGGTGCTGCAGACACTGCTGTACTTCCTGAGTGACATTGCTTCAGCTGAGGAGAACCAGATGACATCTGGGAACCTGGCAGTGTGTCTTGCCCCATCCATCTTCCACCTCAACGTGTCCAAGAAGGAGAGCACCTCACCCAGGTAATATGGCTTTCAGAGTCCCAGTGCTCTCCTCACTGACTCCTCTCTCTGACTTTCGTATTGGAGACATGGCTTGGTGGATACTCCAGCTGACTGAGTTAAAACTTGTCAGTAACACGGAGGCTGGGTTGGATGAAGGGGAAAAAGGGCTTCCATTCCCAATGGGTCATAACTCTCAAGCCCATGTGCTGCTGGAGCCATAGTGCAGGGGTTGCTGCACTATCAGAGACCAGCCGTCCGTGGGCCCAGAGGCCTAGTGATGTAAGGCCTGGTTGGGCCTCAAGGAGGTTCCAGCCTAGTCTTCCTCCTGTACTGTAAGATGGTAAAACACAGGACAGAATAATTGCTGTGATGGCAGTACAACCACATGCAGTCCCCGGTGAACGGGAGGTTGCCAACAGGAGCGCAGGAGGGGAAGGAGTCTATTTCCAGCCCAGCTCTGTGAACAGTGGTATGATCAGGAAGCTGCAGTACTGCTGTTTCACCACAGGGTGTCAGCAGGACTTTCTTTAGGGCTCCATCTTTTCAATCAGTACAGCATAGGGCAGTGTTTCTCAAACTGTGCTCTGTGGAGCTCCAGGGCTCCGCAAGACCTCTCCAGGGGCTCCGCAAGGTTGACAAACTGGAAACATCAATAGGTACAACACATACAATCAGTGGACTGTTGGGGCGCCGCATAAATTTTTACACATGTAAAGGGCTCCGGAGCCCAAAAGTTTGAGAATCGCTGGTATAGGGATTCCTCCCCTGCTAGTGGGTGCCTCTGGCTGAGCCGCATCTCTCAGCTCTCTTGCAGCCCATCACTCCCTCTGCTGGGTCTCACTAGTCTGCATTCTCTTGGGCAGGATGATTCAGAAGAGAGGCACCATGGGAAAGCCTGACCAGAAGGACCTGAATGAAAACATGGCTGCCACCCAAGGGCTCTCCCACATGGTCACTGACTGCAAGAAGGTGTTCCAGGTAGGTAGCTGCAGCTTGAAGTGAGTGATGCTGCTCTGTTTAGTTATTTACCTAGCTCCTTGTTGCTGTACAATCTGAGCACCCCCAGATTTTACCCTCACTTCACCCCTGCTTGGTAGGCAGTGTAACTAGACCATTCCTGTAAGTGTTTGTCTAACCTGTTCTTGAAACCTCCAGTGATGGAGATTCCACAGCCACCCAAAGTAATTTGTTCCAGTGCTTAACTACTCTTACAGGAAATTTTTCCTAATGTCCAACGTTAACTATCCTGACTGCAATTCAAGTCTATTGCTTTTTGTCCTGTCCTCAGAGGTTAACGAGCACAATTTTTCTCCCTCCTCCTTGTAACAGCCTTCTATGTACTTGAAAACCGTTATCATTTCCCCTTCAATTTTCTTTTTTTCCAGACTAAACAAACCTAGTTTTTAAACCTTTCTTCAAAGGTTATGTTTTCTAGACCTTCCATCATAGTTGTTACTCTGCTTTGGACTGTCTCCAATTTATCCACATCTTTCCTGAAATGTGCCCAAAACTGGACACAATATTTCAGTTGAATCCTAATCAGCACAGAGTAGAGAGGAAGAATTACTTCTGCTCTTTTTCCTACCATACTTCTGCTAATACATCCCAGAATGTTATTTTCTTGTTTGCAACAGTATTACACTGCTGACTCCTATTTGGCTTGTGATCTTTGAAGATCCCCAGATCCCTTTCTGCAGTAGTCATTTTTCAGTTGTTCCTTCCTAAGGGGAGTACTTTGCATTTGTCCTTATTGAATTCTTGTCCTTATTGAATTTTATCCTATTTACCTTAGACTACTCTAGTTTGTCCAGAGTGGCTCTTCTTCCCCATGTGCTCCTAAGCATGTACTGTGCTGCTACCCAGTGCACCTAGCTTAGGGAGCAATAGGTCAGGCCTGCTAACCAAGCCAAGGTTTGTCTCGTGTGGCAGTGCAGAGTACTTACTTTAGGACACAGCCCCAGACAGGATGACTACACTTATCCACTGGCCACATGGAATTTCCTCTGTGTTCCAGAGACCTAGTAACTGCGCTGTGTTGTCCCAAGAATCCATCCACTCCAGTGTCCTTTCACCAGGGGTATGTCTAGACTGCATCCCTCTGTCGGCAGAGTTAGGCAGGTCAACATTGCAGATGAGGCAGGGATTTAAAGACATTGCAGGAGTCATAAGGGATCTGTTGAAAAAGGCTTTCTTTCTCGACAGATCCCCCTCTAGACTGCCGCTTTTTGCTGATAAAGTGCTGAGTTGGCAATACACGACAGCCATTTCTTTGCAGATTAGACGCGGGATATTTAAATCCCTGCCTCATTTACAATGTCGACCTGCCTAATCTGCATCCCTCTGCCGACAGAGGGATGCAGTCTAGATATACCACAACAGTGCCCACTACCAGATGCTCCGGAGACATGTGCAAGATGCCCTCCAGTGGCCAGCTATGGAATATCTTGCCCATCAGAGATGAGATTCTAACTCCTGAAGAAGTCCCTTAGGGCAGGTGTGTGCTATATGGGGAGAGCAAACTAAATTACACAACTTCACTGTGTGAAGATCTGTTTACCACAGTGTCTTCACTGCAGTGCAATGACAGGAGAGGCTCTCCTGCCAACCCCCCTTGCACCTCTCATTCTGGTGGTGTACTGGAGTTGACCGTAGAGTGATTGGCAATTGATTTACTAGACTCAGTAAATTGATCCCCCACTAGCTTGATCGCTGCCCTTTGGATCTGGACCCTATTGAAGACAAGTCCTCAAGCAGGGAAGTTGATCTCCCTTAGAGAAATACGTTTTACCCTCTCTAATGTGATTCCTCCCAGCTGACATTTAGGACATCAGCTGAGAGATGTGGGAGGCATTGAGGACACCAAGTGAGCTCTAAAGTCACTGGACTCAAATCTGTCCTGCTGGTTGGTGTGTAGCGTTGTTTGGGCTGTTGGTACAGGGATCCCAGTTCAGGGTGGGTCAGCGACGTGAGGCAATTTCAGGAGACACAGTGGGTGAGCGATTTTTGGTGACCACTCTTGAGCTTTTAAACTCCTTAGTTTTACCACATCTTTGTTTTCTAGATACCCCATGATATGATGCTTCAGCTGTGTAACTCCTACGTGGCAGCAGACGCCCACCCGCTCTCCCTGGCTGAGCTGACGAGCCACAGCCTACAAGATGAGGGCAAGGACTTCCAGGCTTCCTTGGAAGACAGCATGCAGAACCTGCTCAAAGAGTCATCGGAGAGGTTCAAAGGGTGGCTCAGCACCCCAGGACCCCTGAACACAGAGCTCTCTTGCAAAAAGGTAACGTCCATGCTGGGAAGGGTTTGCACACGCAGGGGTATTTGGAATGAAGTGGAGACTGATCAGCAGCCTCTGTCTTCATAGATTGCGTTGAGATATAGGTACACACAGCATGGCTGCCAACTAAACTGCTCAATCAGCTAGACCTTATACTCAGGCTAGGCAGTGTATTCAGCAGTGCCTTCCATGGCTGCCTGCTCTAGACCACCAGTGTGATGACACTAACTAGCAGAAGCCTGGGAATTGGATACCTGAGAGGAGCATGGGGTGCTCCGTGCCAGCAGGCCCAAGCGAGAATCCCCTTTTCTACTCACTGCAGTGGAGCTGGCTCAGACATGCAGGCTTTTCGCCACAGTATCTCTGCTAGTTCACCCAGGCCACGGAGTTGCTAACTCCTGAAAATGAGTAAGGGCGGGTCTCCCCTGCTAGCAGGCTGCCTGCACTCACCAGCCCATGGAAGGCAGTGCCACTCCCCCACAGAGGGGAGGTCTCAGGGCCACGGCAGTATTGTTATCCTTAGGTTTCTTGGCTCAAAACCCTGACTGACTTCCTCCACACGGTGCTTCCACAGGTTGGTGATGGGCACCCACTGCGTTTATGGAAGGTCTCCACAGAGATGGAGGCCCCTCCCTCCATGGTGCTGCAGAGGGTACTGCGGGAGCGTCACCTTTGGGATGAGGACCTGCTGCAAGGCAAAGTGATAGAGGCCCTGGATAAGAACATGGAGGTTTATCACTATGTCACGGACAGCATGGCCCCCCATCCCCGCAGGGACTTCGTCGTGCTCAGGTGAGGTGGGAAGAACAGCACTGGAATTGGGGCCAGCATGGAGGCAAGATGCAGTCTCTCCAACCCCGCATCTGTGCAGGGAGCTGTTGGTCCTGGATTGGAGTGTCTCGTGCTTTTATACCAGAGGGAGGTCAAAGTACCCTCCCCCAATTTACCCAAGCAGACTATAGCCCAGACGAGGGCTCCAGAGGTCTGAGATGTGGCATTTGGCTGGGAAAGCTCCCTCTTCATCAGTGATAACATGCTGCATGCGGGGTGGGGGCAGCCTGGAAATGCTTTGGGCAGTCACAGATCAAGGAGTCACGTCTTCTGCTGGGAAGCATATTCTTTGCGGGCTGCACCGCTGGGTTGAAGGTGAGGGTGACTGCAGCAGCCTGCTCCATTTTCTGAGGCCTCAGTGACTGGAATGGGGATGGTTCAGCCAAGCTGTCCCGTGTGGCCCCTGTGGCACAGCCCATTAGATGGGGTCAGGAAAAACTCAGAGGGTTGTGCAGAGCTTCTTGCTGAGTGTTTGACTGGGCTCCTCTTCCTCACTGACGCAGAAAGGTCTGGAGGTTTTGACAATGGCTTTGCTTAAGATGGCCTCACATCCCATTTTAGCCATGATGGTCCCTTTTGCTAAGCCCTGTCCCAGCCCTCCTGATTTCTATAGCAAAAGTCCTGTTTGCTCTTGCCAACAAATACCCCAGGGTGGGGGGAGGCAGGGCTCAAGAAAACAATAGCACCAGCGTTAGCTGTGTGCTGGGGGAGGCAGGACTGAGGAGGGTGGTAGGAATAGGGAGGGCTTGAGCAAGCAACGATGCCAGCCTCATGCAGGGAAGCAGGCAGGGCTGTGTGAGTGGCGACATCTCTCCCCAGGCAGGGCTGGCCTCAGGTGAGTGGTTCAGCCCTGCCCTATGCAGTGCCCGGTTTCCTCTTTGAGACATATGGTCACCCTAGCTTTGTTTGTTCCCTCATACAGGAAATGGCGTACGGACTTACCGCGAGGGGCTTGCCTGCTGGTCTCCATGTCACTGGAACACGAGAAGCTGCAGGTGGAAGGAGGAGTCAGAGCTGTAGTTTTAACATCTCAGTATCTGATTGAACCGTGCGGGATGGGTCGCTCCAAAGTGACCCACATCTGCAGAACTGATCTCAGGTAAAGGCAAACCTTTGCTCAATCCTTTTAATCTCTTTCACGCCCAGTGTGAAGTGGCTTCTGAGCACAGATTGGGAAGTGAGGAATGTGTGGCTACCCATGCTGGCTCCATTAGTGACTTACTGGCACCTCTCTGGCTTAGCACAATGGGGAGAGGACTCATTTACCTGCAAGGGGCCTGGGAGGTGTAATTATTTTTCCCTATGGTGCCATATATGTACAGCCATTGCTAACACTCTCTTCCATGATTACTGTTAACACCCTTCCCAAAAACACACTAGATGGCTCACAGGCAGATAAATTTATTGGTTGCCCTGCAGTAACACCTCGGAGTCATGGCCCAAGACCGCCTTGTGCTACGTGCTGTACAAATACAGAACAAAAAGATGATCCCTGCCTCAAGGAGCTTACAATCTAATGTTGACATGGTGCAGCAAAATACAAAGAGCATGTCTACACTAGGAAATTATTTCAAAATAACAACTCCGCAATAATAATTTCAAAATAGCATGTTCACTCTAAGGGGAAGCCTCAAAATTAGTTCAAGGCAGCCTCCCTTAATGCGGACATGCTACCTTGACTTAGAGCCCCAGGAAGCACTGAGAGTAAATAGTTTGAATGACTCTTGGGAGTAGTTATTTCGAAATAGCGGCACTGGCGCATCCACGCTAACACTATTTTGAAATAACTGTTTTGAAATTAGCATTATTCCTTGTGGAAAGCAGGAGTTATTTCGAAATAACCAGCCTGTTATTTTGAAATAATGGATTTGAAAATGTGGATCCTCCGCTTGTTATTTTGGAATAACTCCCTAGTGTAGACCAGGGCAAAGGTGGGAGTGGTGGAGATTGGAGAAGGCTTGCAGCCAGCATTCCCTATAAGCTGAGCGTGTGGATGGTCATGCAGGAGAGATTGAAATGCTGCCCTGCTGTATTTCTACTGGTGATGCACATCTGCACATGTCTCAGTGAACATAACAAAATTTATTCAGCACAGTGAACATAACAAAATTTATTCAGCACATGATGGAAAAAACTAGAGAAAACATTGCTCCCAGCCTAGGGTAAGTAGGATGGTCTGTTGGAAGAGCACCGGACTAGGATCCAGGAGATCTAGATCCATTCCCAGTTCAGGCACAGCCTTCATGCCTATGTCTACACTACGTTTTTAAGGATCTTGCTCAAAAAGGAGGTTTTGTGTAAAATGGATACGTCCGCACTGCTTGTTTTTGCGCAAATACCTCTTGCACAAAAAGGATCAGAAGACACTATGCAAATGAAGCATGTGAAATGCTAATGAGCACTTAATTTGCATTGCCTCTTCCGCAAAAAGTCCGTAGTGTAGACGTAACCCATGTGTGACCTTAATTACCTTGACCTTCGTGTAAATTGGGGATGATACTTTTCTAGCACAGACGGATAAAACCCATGTCATGGCCAAGACACCAAAGTGTCTATATAGAAAGTAGGAAGATTGTGTAGCTTCTCACCCTCTTCTAGAGGAATCTGACTGATGAGAGAGGTGTTGAGGCCCTGCTCAGAAAGGGGAGGCAATGTAGAAGGCACAGAGAGTGACCTTGAGGTTACACCTGTGCTACCCATGCGATATGAAGGATGGAAAGTAGGAAGGGTCAGAGTTATGTAGGACCTCAAAGGTTACATGGTATCCTCTAGCAATTTGGCTTACTCAGCAGGTTGTCAGTGCTGGACAAATTACTGCTGGGCAAATTACTTCCAGACTGTCCAAGAGCATTACTGACCCAGAGTTGTTCCCTTCAGATAGCTGTGCAGATGCCTGTGTAACAAGCTACGATCCCAGTCCAATTCCTTCAGAGCTGCCATTTACACACACACAAGCCACTGGCTCCTCCGGCACCCCATAGCATCCCTCCTGGGATGAGACACACCAACAGGCTGCAGTGCAAGACGCTTATATGTGTCTGCTGGGACAGCTAACTGTATCATGTATCTGGGAAAAACAAGGCCCTGCCTATGTCATAAGGCCGCACTATCCCATAGTTTTCTGCAGCAGCCTAGACCAAGGTGGACCTAGGGACATAAGCGACTACTTGAATAATCAACTACCTGATAAGCCTAGGCTTATCGGATAGTTGAGTCACTACTCGACTGCTCACTTCCCTCCCCCCCCAAACACACTTGCTGCCTCTGTCACAGAGGAAGCAAGGGGGAGGAATAGGAGCCGGTGCTGGGGGGAGCTGGCACCATCTGCAGGGGGCGGGCAGGGGAGGCAGAGGTGCAGCGGTCTGGGTCCCAGACCTACTCCCTCTGTGGCTCTGCCTGGGTAGCTCTTACTACATTTAAAAGGCAGAGCCACAGAAGTCCCAGAGCTAGTGTCCTGGCTCGCACCGGCTCTGGGAGTTACCCCCTGCGGCTCTGCAGAGCGCCTCCCCTTATCGATTAATCATGTAGGCAATACAAAGTGTATCAACTACACAATTAGCCAAATCCCTGCTCCTTAACATCCTTAGAGGAACAGCCTTAGCTAGGAGAGGGAGCCAATGCAGTTTCAGTCTTGTGTTTTATACATGCCCATTCCTCTCATGGTACACGCAGCGTGGAAGCAGGGATTACACTAGCTGTTGCTTGCTCACACTGCCCCAGAGCAGGTATGTTGATATTCCCTTTTAGCCTGAAATGTGCCCCACTGTACGAGAAAAACCATGTTACTCTCCTGTATGTGACAATGACTTCCTCCCTCTGCACTCTTGTCTCTCCAGGGGCCGGTCTCCCGAGTGGTACAGCAAGGTCTTTGGACAACTTTGTGCCATGGAGCTGGCAAGGATACGAGATTCCTTCCCAGTGCTTAACCCATGTGGCTCTGAGACAAAGATTTGAGGTGACTGGAAGATGCTCTCTCCTGTTTGATCATGAACCTCCCAGACATTGTGGGGTGAAGCATGGAGAGGCAACCTGGCCATCAGCAGGCTGTTGGCATCTGGTTGTGCGGAGCCTGTGCTTTACCAGGCACATGAGCATGACCTTCCTTTGAATCAACCACCAATCCCGAAGGAGACGGCCGTTGTCTCCATCTCCATGGGATCCCTTTCTCCTTACCACCAGAGACCTTCAAAGCTGTGTCCAGCAGCACATCCTGGGCACAAGGGGCCAAAACGAAGCCTTTATTTCCTGCTTCCAGAATCCCCGCTGCAGGCTGAAAGGCAGCAACAGCCTCCTTCCTAAAGCTCTGAGGAGCAGCTGTGCAGAAATGAACCAGTGTGCTGCTTGCTGGGGAGAGCTGCCCCACCATCACCTGCCTGCCATGGAGAGAGTGGGGCTTGGGAAAGGGGTTGGGGAGTACATACAGCAGGCTGAGCCAGGAAGCAACTGGACCAGAGTCAGATGCCTTAATTGCCCCCTTTGCTGACTGACCCTGGGCTCACCCTTTCAGCCCAGAGACTGGCCTCGGCCACGAGAGTGGTGGTGTGTGAAGGGACCAGAGATGATGCTGATGTGTAGGAGAAGGGAGAGAGGGCGGAGCTCGTGCAGTGTCTGCATGGCTGTGTGGTGTCAGGCAGAGCGTCTGCTGGGGATGTGACTGTGTGAGGGGCACCAAGCAGCATGACACACAGGCAGAGAGAGACAGGCTGAGGAGTTGGTTCAGGTCAGATGGGTGTTAGGTTGATTTGGTTTCTAATTAAGCACTGCCATGTGTTGAATGGCAAAACAGAAGCTATTTTACTCTGGGTGCTGATTTCACTGGGAAGGACTCCAGGTCTGTGCCTTCTATTTGATCAGATACAAGGAACCTCTATCACCCCTGTTTTCAGCACGGGGTCGTGTGGACCGATGAAAGAGGATGCAACTATTGTGCTATCTAAGGGCCCAGTCCTAATTCTCATTGAATTAATTGAGAGCCTAGTCTTTCACGCTAATAAATTGGGTCTTAGATCGATGGGTTCAAATTCCAAAGCATTCACCCTGTCCAAGCTGTGCAAGGGGAAGGGTTGCCTTTGCAAGGCTGGGAGTGAGACCAAAAATGAGCAGTGCAGCTCACGTCCTCCCTTGGGCTGGTTTTAGCAAGCCTCAGGGTTAGACTTCCATTGCCTTGAGGTGGGAAGTGAAGAACACCCCCTCCATTACACAGACACACCCTTACACAACGAACTTTAGCTTGGCTGTGGGGAAGATTTAAAAGCATTGGCCCATGACATGTGACCATGGGGGCGGGGGGAGGTTGATCTGATAACTGTATTCTGCCCCCCACTGAGAGAGTAATGTGCGTTTGCCCCAAACTGTACAACAGAAGTGCCATTTTAATCAGGCGGGGGGAGGGGGGAAGGATTGGGTTAGTGCACCCTAGTTTGCCCTCATTGTTATGGACACTAGCTCTCCCACCAAAGAAGCAGTGCTCGCTCCACTGCAAATGGGAGTGAAAGGCAAGTAACAGTGTTAGAACGTAACTCTTCATCCAAGGATCCCACTGCTCTGATCATGTCCCTCCTTCCCTCTAAACTCTTAACAGTCTGTCCATGACAGGAAGTGATATGCACTTGACGGGGTTTCTTTTTTAATCAGGGACCCAAATGACTAGACGTTGTTCCAAATGGAAGGCAACACAACCCACTGGCGGGTGAAATTGTCAGTTTCACCAGTAACAATCTGCTTTCTTCTCTAATGCACACCAGCTATATTCTGTTTGTTCGTTGTTGTATAACTAACGTTTGGGACTGATTCTCGCCTCTTTTTAATGTTTCTTTTCCAATCTATAAATACTGTACAGTTGGAATATTAATATATAACTCAGGCGGTAAGAGCTTGGTGCTGGGTGACGAACACCAGAGTGACGCGTGTTTTGTATTTAAGGGACTTTTTTGTATCAGATGCAGCCGCTACAGATTGTCTGACTTCAAAGGGGGCTGTGGTTCCCCCTCCGTGTAGTAATAAAGTACTAATGTCATCTACTGGCTAATGATGAAACCTTGCTATACGCTGACTGCTGCTGTCAGTGCTTCCTCCTCACAGGGCCCTGCCCTGACATAGGCTCCAGAAAATAGAGCTGGGGTGGGAAGCCGCCTGACCACAGCCCTCCCCGTCATGCCAGCATGGGGCTGAGTGAGCATGTTTTGTAAAAAGGGGACTGCAAAGCCAAAAGGGTCAGGGCTCTGATGATTACTTCTGCAATGGCGGGGCAGAGAGGTTGCATGGGTCTCACATGAGTTAGCTTCACACCCATCGGAGAACTCTTTGTTTGGGAACAATGCAATCTGATTTCCCCCTTTGACTTTCCCTCTGGCCCAAGCATATAAATGGCAGGGCCTCCTTTCTATTCCTCTGGGCTGCTGGCTTGGGCTGGCCTGTCCTTCCTTCAGACTCCTTGCCTGGCTCAGCTGTGATTAACCCCAACTGAGACAGTAAGGACCCTGTGGTGGACTGATGGAGGGGGCCGTGTGTTTGCTAACCAACAAATTCCTTTCCATACTGCCACTCAGCTTCCAGGAGCCAGGCCAGTGTTATCTGAACTGCTGGCTTCGCAGGCACCCCCGGGAGAGGGCAGGATGGCAAGCAGTGCATTAAATGGCCATATCCAGGCCTCAAGGGCTGGCTCTCCCTGTCCATTTAAGGACTCCATGTGCTTATTAGCAAGTCTCTTCCTCCTAAAGCCCCATTGTTCTTGGCAGCTAATGCAGCATCCCATGGAGCTCAGTGTGGTACCCCCTGGGGTTTCACCCAACCTGAAGCCCTGCAATATTGCCCACATCCACCATCTGACCCATCTCTCGCTGAATGCTCACCACAAGATGTATGAGCAGAGCCCTCCAGAACAATCACATTATTAATAAGCAGCATCTGTGATCGGCCCCATGGTACAGGCACTTGGTATCTACCTGGTCACCTTTCCAGGGCTCTTACCATGCAGACGCCTTGGCTACAGCCAGTTGCTCACCCCTCCCATAGGAGTTATGGCATCAAACAGGAAAAGGAGACTGATGGTTTGTGGGAGCACAGACACTAAAGGCACAGCCTTTCTCTCTCCACTTGCCATTCTGTGCAGGTCACAGCCTCCAAAGCATAGGGGTAACACACCGGGGGGAGGGGGCGCGGGCGCACTCGCAGCTGCTATATTCAATTCCTGTCTGCTCCCTCTCCCCTTTCCACCACGGAGTGAGCTGGATATAAGGATGTTAAGAGGCAGGTAACTGGCTAATCGTATAGTCAATAAAAATACTATTGACAACACGATTGTCTGTAAGGGAAGGCACTTGGTCCTGGCTCGCGCTGGGTCTGGGACCTACTCCACTGCGCCTCTGCAGTATAAATGTAGTAGGAGCCAGGCTGCCTGCTTGCCAAGTGTATTTAAACTGCAGAGACATAGTGGGTGGGGGAGGGGGTAGATCCTGGATCCAGTGTGAGCCTGGATTGAGCTGGGCTGCCTGCCCTGCTGGAGCACCCCTGCCTGCAGGGGGTCCCAGCTCCCCGCTGGGATCCCCCATAGACAGGGGCTGTGTCCAGAGCAGCCTCCGCCTCTGGCAAGCTTGAGTCCACCGCAGGCAGATGCTGCTTTGTGGCAGGCCCCCCCCCCCCCCGGGTGCTGCTGCTTTTTAAGTTGGCTCCTCCTACCACTGGCTCCTTATTCCCACTGCTCGCTGCCTCTGATACAGAGGCAGCAAAGGGGGTCGTGGAGGGGAGGAAATCCGAGCAATTGCCTTGACTACCTGATAAGCCTAGGCTTGTCGGGTAGTTGACAACGCATCCCTAGCTGGAATCGTTCCAAAAAGCAAACAGGGAATGGCAGAAATTCCAGCCTGGGATGGGGCTAAAGCAAACTCCACTGGCTGTAGGCTGCTCTGGGGCTCAGGGTGGTAAGCCCTAGCAGGTTAATCTTGCCTAGGGTTAGGGGTGGGGCTAGCCAGTCCACACAGAGTATGGCAGGGGGACACCCGAATGCCAAACTCAGGCCCAGCCACTCCCTGGAGGAAAAGGTCAATTTTTGCCTCCTTCCCAGGAGTAAATGAAAGAGGAACATGGACCATTACCAGCTACTATTTCTCTGCTGGCAGCCATTCCCTAGGAATGGGTTTGGGCACAGGCTGCATTAGTTAGGCCTCAGTTGTGGTGTGAGCCCAGATAGCGCTGGAGACCAGGCTGCAGCCTGGAGCCCTTGCTGGACAGGGTGGTTGGGAGCAATCCCTGACTGGGGACTCCTGTGCCGAACACAGGGCCTGGCGCTCAGGGTGGTCTAGGAAGATTTGGGGATAGCGCCACCTCCCTTCTGTAGCATGTCGCCGACCCCAGTATCTGCTGCCTGGTCCCACAGCCAAGGCTTCCCGAATAGGTAGGGCAGAGCCATTGCCCCACAAGCTGAGGTCGCCTGCAGCTTTCACCAAGGTCGCTCTGGCATCTGCTATTGCTGCCTCTGCCCCCAAACCAGAGCACGGCAGGGCTCTCATCCCACCTTCCTTCCCCTGCACTCACACTTGCTTCCAGCAGTGCAGACACTACTCTGGGGCTCTGAACCTGCAAGCCAATCAGGGTACATAGGCAATGCACTTGGTGCTCTGCATTGGGGGCAGCTGTTCCAAAGGCAGCTGCTCCTGCCCCGTGTCTCCAGGGTGAAGGGCCAAGGAGCTACCGGCTCCACGTAACATAGGTGGGGGGTTAGGATGTACTCCACCATCCATTCCACAGCGGCTGGGGAATCCTTGTGCTGACCCAGCATCAGCCAACCCACAGCCCCCCACTGCTGACCCATGGCAGTGAGAATGCCTGGGGCTGGCAGCATTCCAGTGCTTTCAACCATGGGGCAGATGAGCAGAGTTCAGGCCCTGTCTGCGACCATTTCTTCTGTCGGCTCCTAACACACCGTCTGTCACTGCTGCCACAGCTGGGAGGGGTGTTCCCGCCATGCACAAAAGCTGGCTGGCAGCTCCGCTCTGGCTGCTGCTGCCCCACAAATGCTACACCAGTGGGGTGGGCAATGAACCCGGATAGGTCAGAGACATGGTCCTTCAGAGCTGCATGCATGAAGCAGTGAGGCTTTTCGGCTAAGCAGCCAGGGACTGTCAGGTGCTGCTGGTTTGCATGGACACCAGGGTAAAGTACATTCTGGACATTTCTGGGTCCTGGAGTGACTGCTGCTGCTTCTTCTGCAGACACAGCTTGAGCTTCTCCTGGAAGGGGGTGGTGGTGACGGTGTACAGAATGGGGTTCAAGGCACTGTTGATGGGCAGGATGAAAATGACCACCCAAGACGTCACAGTACCTGTTCCAACACAGACAGTCTGTTAGTAACCATGGGGGCTGGCTGCCCACTAAGGGTGTGAAAGGTTAACGTTAGTCGTTAAGCCTCACCCTTAATGGGTGATGCTCACTGGGTCTGGTTCACCAGTGGAGGCTGGAGCAGCTGCCTGCCTGCCATGGCTCCAGCCCCATGAGGCCTGCTGCAGACAGGACACGTTGCAGCCTGAGTCCCTGGCAGCCTGAGACCCCGGCAGCTGCTCCGGGTGATGCAAGCAGCAGACTGCTCCAGCCTGGCCATGGTGGGAGGTGGCTGCTCCAGCCCAGCTGGGCTGCCCCCCCTTAACTGGTTAACCAGTGAAACATCATGTTGAACTGGTTAACCAACTAAATGGGATCTTACATCCTTATTGCCCACATCCTAGGGAGATTGGGGCTATGTTCTGCTCTCATACCCAGCTGTAAAGCAGACGAACCCCAATCAAGTCTGAGCTATTCCAGCTCTTACGTGTGTGAGAGCCAGGAGGCTGGCTCCTTGCAGGCATGGCTGGTGGCTGACATTCCAGTCTGCAGGCGGGGATCAGTTTTGGGATGTGAGCAAACAGACCAGGATGAGAGGCCCCAAACGCTTGGCCACCGAGGCTGAGAGCAAAGCTGGGATTCGCACACAGACACATACATGAACCTCCTAGCACACCTCTAGGGCTGAACATGTCTTACCCAGGCACAATGGGGCAGAGCTGAGAAGCTTGGGCCTGCCTGGAGCAGGAAGGTCAGTTCTTGTCTCTGGGCTGAACTCACGGTGGCAGAGAGAACAGCACATGGTGCGTACTTTGATCACAAAGCGAGTGCTGATGTCACTTCCATCTAACTGGTATTCAGCAGATGGGCAAACCAGGGGGGCAAAAGGGAGTGCGCCTGGCAGAGGAAGTCATTACAGAGCAGGCCAGTGAGAGAAACTGCTCCCGCTCCTCTCCATGCACACAAGAGAAGCAGGCTCAGCAATGGAGGCTGCCTCTAACCCCCACCAGACCTGGGCCTAGACACCAAACTGCTGCTTCCTTTCCCCAGCCTGTTGTGAGCTGCAGACTGGAAGCCAACTTATAGGAGCTGAGCTGACAGGTTAGGATGAGAGAGGAACCTGCCCAGACTCCAGAGCATCTGTGACACCCTTGCAAAAAAGCAAACGTTCTGGACTGCGTTAACAGGAGCGTTGTGAGCAAGACACGAGGAGTCGCTATACGGCTCTACTCTGCGCTGATCAGGCCTCAGGCTCCAGGTTTGGGAGCCACATTCCAGGAAAGATGTGGACAAATTGGAAAAGATCCAGAGAAAAGCAACAAAAATGATGAAAAGTCTAAAGACATGAGCTGTGAGGGGAGGCTGATGGGCTGGGTTTCTATAGTCTAGAAAAGAGAAGACAGAGGGGCCAAAATAACAACTTTCAAGTACCTAAAAGGGTGTTACAGGGAGGGAGATAAATTATTCTCTTGAACCTCTGAGGAGAGGACAAGAATCAATGGGCTCCAATTGCAGCAAGGGAGGTTTAGATTGGACATTATGAAAAAGTCCTGTCAGGGTGGTTAAGCACTGGAATAAATTGCCTAAGGAGGTTATGGAATCTCCATCATTGGAGATTTTTAAGAGCAGGTTAGACAGACATCTGTCAAGGATGATCTAGACCAGGCCAGGCAACGTACGGCCAGCGGGCTCGATCCGGGATGCCAAGCTACCAGATCTGGCCCACGGCCATCTCCCAGGGACCCTTACCACAGAGCAGCTCACTACACTTTGAACAGCTGTCTGCTCTCTGCTCTGGATGCTGGACAGAGGGGAAGTCTTCGGGTGCTGTTCTCACCCCCAGCAAAATCTCTCAGCTCCTATTGGTCAGTTTTCGGCCAATAGGAACTGAGAAATATTGCTGGAGGTGGGGTGGGGCATGCACAGCCTCTTTCCTCCCCACCCTGGCCAGAGCAGAGACATATGGAGCAACCTGGGACTGCAGCAGATAGGGAGCCTGCCTCAGGTTCCTGCAGGGATGCTGGCTGGGAGATGCTGAAGCAAGCTGGAGCTGGCCTCTGGCACCCCACTCTCTTTCTCTCCCCAACTCCTTGCCCCAGGCCACCACACCCTCCTGCCCCAAGTCACAAACAAAATCCTTTATACCCCTCTCCCCTCTTCTCCCAGGTCACAACTCCCTCCTGGACCCTGAATCCTCCCGCCCCCTTCCCTAGGCCAGAACCCTCTTCAGCACCTATACCCTCTCCCAGATCCTGCACTCCAAGCTCCCCCCAGATCACAACCCCCTCCTTCACCCCAAACTCCTCCTCAGATCCTACACCCTCTCCTCCTCCCCAGTTCCCTAACCTGAGCTCCCATCTGTATACCCAACCTCTGTCCCAGACCCTGCACTCCTTCCATAGTAGCATGGCCTTTGACCACTTACCAAAATCTTAGAGTGGCCACCCCCAAAAAATGATTGCCCGCCCCTGATCTAGATGGTGCTTCTGGCACGAGTGAAGGGGACTAGACTTGATGACCTCTCAAGGTTCCTTCCAGTTCTATGGCAGGGGGCTGTCAGGCAACAGGAGAGAGCAGGGAGCCAAGGGACAGAGAGGAACTGAATTTGGCTCTTCTCTTTCAGCTTTTGCCCATCAGCGATGGAGTATTTTGAGCTTGGAGATCAGGTGCTGCGGGCCAGCTCTGGGGGGCTACATGGGGACACATGCAGGGAGTCCCTGCATGGCAGTGCTCTGCGTGTCAAGGCATCTGTGTACAAACAGCTGCTGCTGGTGTGGGGCCCAGCGTGGCTTGGTCAGTCACCTGGTATTTCCACCTGCAGCAAGGAGAGGAGCTTCAGGAGGAAGATGGGGATCCAGCAGAGGGCGTCAGTGAAGACGATGAAGAAGAACCGCTTGGCGATGGCCACTTCCCTGGAGAAGACGCTGCGCTCGGCGGTCTTGGTGGCTGTGGTGTGGATGGAGTAGAACATGCTGGTGTAGGCGAACACGATGGTGATGAAGGCAATGAGGTTCAGGCCTAGCGAGGAGGAACCACCAGCCATGAGTGCGTCAGCGAGCCAACCCAGGGTGCCTGTGCCACACGCTGGCTGAAATGGGGTGTAAGGGTGGAACAGCCGCTAGCAGCAATACAGCAGCCTCGCAGGGACGACGACCCCTTGCTTCCCAAGGAGCAGGGGAAAACACATGGACACAGACAGTCGGCTTCTGCCCTGCCACGGTAACAGGATGGCATTTGGGCAGCAGGGAAGTGAGCTTCCTGCTGCCTGGCTAGGAATTGCACTGCCCCACCTGCGTGGCGGCTGTGTCTGCACCTTGCTAATTTTCTGGTCCCTGCATGCCTGGGGCCCATGGATGAGAGCCAGAGTCTGGTCTCCTGAGTCTGAGGCTGGCCCCCCTCTCCCAGGAGCGCTTTGGCTGGAGTGGCCTCATGCCTGGGGAGCGGCGAGGGGTTGTTAAGCCAGTAACAAGTGGGCGCGCAGTGAGTTATAAGAGCCTCCTGAGTCTGCAGTAAAGCTCCTGGCTCTGCACAGTCATATGCAGCATAGCCCTGCTACCGGCCTGAGGCAGGGACGTGTGCGGCCCCCTCTCCTACGTGACCCTGCCCCTGGAGAGCAGGGGTGCACCTCAGCCCCGCGGGAAATGCTGCACTCGCCTGGCTGGCTTTGTGGGGCTCTGAAGGGGTCAGGAGAGCAGGCCAAGCAAATCCCCAACGTTTTGCAAACAAAATGCTCCTTGTTAACAGAGCTCTGGGGTGTGCACCAGGGGCCAAGGTGCTACCAGCCCTAAACATCAGCAGTCCTTAAGGGGCTAGTTAGCAGGTTGCTCTCCCCCTTCACCTCTAGCACCAGCGTCCTACCTGCCCTCCCTTCCCCCAACACCGAGAGCTGCGGCTTCCCTCGGCTGTGCCAGGTCAGCCCTGTTTCACCCACCAGCAGCCTGGACTGAGTCACATGAGAACAAGCAGCAGTCTGTCAGCAGAATCATGTGACCACTCACTGTCAGCTGTCCTGTGGCCTCTGGCACAGCTGGGGCTGAGCATGCCCTGCTGTGAGCCACACAGCAGCCCTCTGAGGCGGGCCCCACTGAGGATGGGGAACTGAGGCACAGAGAGACTAAGCAATTTGCCCAAGCTTGCGAAACTGAGGCACAGAGAGACTAAGCAATTTGCCCAAGATCACTGGAAGCCTGTGCTGCAGCAAGGAATTGCTGTGGTGTGTCCCAAGCTGGCACCCAGCCCACTGGCCCATCCAGCCTCTCATTGCACTTTCCTTTACACTGAGTTCCCTGTTTGACTCTGGTGCAGAGCACCCATCAGCAAAGGCAAGCCCCAGTCCCCTGTTTACAGCTGCATGGTGCCTACCACCCCACCGGCTCAGTGGCAGCTGAGCAGTCCCGCTCCCATGCCCTGAGGATTCCTTACCCAGAAATATCCCGGTGGAGTAGCCCCTGGCACCTGGGCTCACGGTCTCGTCAGACTGGAGGGGGAAGCACACCCCGTTCCTCCCGTAGTAGTCCCCGAAGGACTCCTTGCACCAGAAGGGGATGAAGGTGAGAGAAAAGCCCAACAGCCAGATGACGACCAGCACACAGAGGGTCTGCTTTTTGCCCACTCCGTAATGGCTGAATGGGAAGACGATGCAGAAGAACTTCTCCAGGGTCATGTAGGTCAGCAGCAGGACGGACACCTCTGAGGACAGCATGGCCAGGCTGCCCACCAGCTGGCACTGGATGCTCGCCATCCACACATGGGCGTGCTTGTTGTACTCGCCGGAGAACTTGAGATCAAAGGCTCCAATGAAGAAGAGGTAGATTCCCATCAGACAGTCTGCACCTGGGACAGAGACAACGTCCGAGCATCACCCCAAGAAAGGAACCCATTCCCACCGCCCCCCTGGGCACAATGAGCCCTTACAGAGCAGTTGGGACCAGGACATATTTTTCCCTTGGACACCCGCGTGCGCCTGCCTTTGAAGTCACTGGGAGCTGTGTGCATGGAGCGAGGGGCCCTTACTCTGAACACAAGGCACCAACGCTGTTAGGATGGTCACCCGCGCACAGCATTGCACTGCAGCGCTCTGGGAGACGGATGGTAAATGAGATAGGCACAGGCTCGGGAGCTCTGGGACATGTCTTGTTGCAGAGGAGCCTATTCCAGCTGTGCAGTGGGCCAGGAATGTCCAAATCTGGAAAGGACACTAGCCAATCCTGCACTTGCAGCCTTGTGGGGAGAAGGGCTGTCTCTCTCACTCACACACATGCACTTGCCGGACATTGTCTGAAGCAGCCCCTCCCCCAACTCACAGCAGAGCGATTTGATGGCCATGGTGTGCTGGCTGTTCTCGGAGACGACCAAGGACCTCATGCCGATGACAAAGAGATTCCCAAAGCAGGTGATGCACGCGATGACCCAGACAAAGACCCTGAGGATGATGTTAGCCAGGAGGTTCTCAATGGAGGAGATGCCGTCTGTGTTGGGCTTGCAGCTCCGCACGTGCGGAGAGTAGCTGCAATACTGGAACTTTTTAAAGTAGCTGCCAGGCAAAGGGATATCACCCGTGTTAGATGCTCAGGACAAGAGCTACGTCCCTAGAGGTTACTTGAGAAGAAGTTTGCCCACCTGGCACAGAGCCTCATGGACCTCTCTCATCTCATCCCCTTTGCTCACTTCTTCTCCTGAACTCTCCTCCCCCAAACATTCTTCGTGCCCTTCTCCTTCCACCGCCTGAACCACTCTTCTCATCCTGGAGCAGATTCAAGCTCAGTGTATCATACATGTCTACCCTTGTCATCTCCGCGTGAGGTACAGCAGCATGGGTGAGGGGGATAGGGCAAGAACCGGTAACATGTCCACAGGGGTCAAGATGAGGAAGTTTGCACTGCACCAAAGGGTTTGCAAGGCTCTATGAAGAATACACGCCCTTCTGCATATACGTGTGTGAGCACTGAATCCCTTCGGGACCAAGGATGGGGTTGAAAATCTCAGGCATTCCCTTCCAGGGGAGTGTTGGCTCGTCAGCACCCTTGTTTGGGAAGCCCATGTTGGTACAAGCTCACACCAGCTTTTCATCCCAAAGTGCAAGGTCAAAGTGTAAGCAATCATCCTTGCCTAGCATCCTGACCCCAGTGCAGCAATGTGCTTACGCACATGCATAAAGTGCTACAGATGTGCGTGTGCTTTGTGGAATCAGGTACTATGCAATGGTGCGTTTTAATCAATAACTCATCAGCACTTTAATGTGTACAGAGTTTCCCTTCAACTCAGGACCTTTGTCAACATACAACATTTCAAAATCCATCCATCATTCAAGCCTTTCAAATTCCACTCACCGGGATTCACATTTTATCCAAGGGTTATTTCATATAAATCCCCTCTTTAAAAACCGCACAAAAGCAATCCTACAGCAGCTTAGCACTTTAAAAGGATGGCAAACTTCAAAGCAAGGCTCATTTCCGTTCTGATCACTCACAAAAGGGGTGAGAAAATAGTGTCCTTGGCTACTGTTCCCTAATGTTACCGGTGCAAAACTTACTCAGGTTTTTAATCGGAACAGACCAACGGCAGAAAGTGACATGGACATTTATCTTGCATTGTGTATGCTTCAACATTTATACCCGAAGAAAAGACAAAGTGCCTTACAGCAGGCTGGTTAGTGAAATATCTCTGCATCTTCCAAGATGCCTGTCCTTGGAGAATAGGCCAGTTTGTGTATCAATACATCTGAATTGTTCTTAATTCAGTATGCCCAAGCAGGTTGCCAAAAGGACCACTAATTGGGTTATTTAGCAATTGTTTTCAGAGAACTAAACAATAGCTTTATAATACCTGGCCTGAAAATGTACCTTTTTCAGTTTCACTGTCAAGGGGATTCTAACTATATAACCCTCCCAGCACCACATCACTATACAAACACACACACGCAGATTATGGAGAAAACCCCTTTAAAATACTGTGGCACTTGCTTGTTCCCCCATCTCTCTTGGTACAGTTCAGATTGGAGGGTTCTTAAAATTAAGGCTTCTTGTCTGACCCACAGGAGGCCTTTCCATCAGCTAGGGACTCCCGGCAAACAGTGGTCCTGGCTCCCCCAGCTCCAGGGTGCTGAATGAGGAGTGGGGTAGGAATGTCTCACTGGGGAGATCCAGCTGCTTTCTGGCCACCGCAAAAGAATAAACTGACTGAGGATTGAGCCCGGTTTGTTTAATTGCTCCTGGCACTAACTTCTACAGCTGCAAAAGATGCTATGACCCAATCCCACCCTTCCTCCACTCCCAGTACTCACATGTGAGACAGATTGGTGAGTTTCTGGAACATGCGGGGCTGGACATTGGGGATCTCCAGACCTTCAATACTCCTGTAAAACTCAATGCAACAGAAGAAATGAGTTGGCTTGTCTCCCCAACTGGCCTGAGGCCACAGGCTCAAGGGGCTTGGGAGAGGCAGTGCCTGTGCTGCTGTTCACTTACAGAGAGCGCAGCTGGGGCAGGCTGTCAAACTGGTCTGCAAAGATCTGCTTCAGGGGGTTGTAGGAAATATTCCTGCAAAGGGAAAAAGCCGAGTCTTTCTTTCTAGAAACTCCCCATGATACCCAAAAGCAGAGACCTCCACAGCCATGTTCCCTCTAATTTTTTTCATGCATATGAAAAATAAATTTTGTGATGCGCACCAAGACATGTGCAGATGTGCACCACCAATAGAACATACACTGCCAGCTGTAAGTGGCTGTGGCACTCTGCTACTCAGCTGGGTGGGACCTGAATCTCTTCTGGACAGCTGCTCAAACTCATGGCTTAGAGGGAACCTGGCACCCAGTGCAGCCTGCAGAGACGATGCTTGTTTATGTTAAATAGAAATATGCTGAAATGTGAGGAGAGAACACTTTAGGGACCTAATTTAGATCTTGATAATAATAAGGCCTAGCAATATATGAGTGAAGTGAGACAACTGAGAGGCAAGTTAGAGACAAGCTAGGGCATAATCCCATATCATGGAAACATATTGAGACAAAACGTGAATGTGTTGGCAGAATGTTGCCTGTATTGATAGTTACTGGAATGGTATTTATGCAGATGTTGACTAAGATGATGTTTAGGGTTAAACAACCAATAAGAAAGTAAAAATATTGAAGTATGGTAGCAGAAATCTAGAGATGGTAAAAGGCAGGCTTAATGCTAATTAATTATGGGATGTTATTTTAATTGATTATAAAGAACAATGTACTGCTTTTAGATTAGTGCTCTCATCTGCCATCCAGGTACTGTAAGAGAAAGGATTATCTACCCCTTCCTCTCATCCAGGAACCACTGGGTGCACCAGATCATTGAGGACTGCAGGTACCATGGCAGTGTGAGTGTACGGTGTCATGGCTATTGACTTGAACGGATTATTTTAATTCTGCCCCTATCAGGTCAGTTCCGGTTCTCCGCTAAACCTGTAATTGCCCTGGAGGCTCGAATCTGAACATGCTCAGTCTGGGCCAATTCCTTAGCTATGACACACAAACCAAGGCCACAGCAGGAGCAAAACCATGGCAGACCTTCCCCTGGCCTTGGACCCTCCCTTGAAACAGTCACAGGCCCACTGTTATACTCTGGCTGCCAGCCCATCAGCCTAGCACAGCCTTTGAGGGAGACCTGCCAGCATGAGGGAGTGCTCTGTGCCTTGGAAGACAGTATGGTCCAGTGCACAGAGGAACAGCACTAAGTAAGAGCTGGGTCCTGTTATTACTGTTCTTCTGCCGAAGTTGCCAGAAGAGGGTCACACAGTGCGGTGGGCCCAGGCCATTGTTCCCTTTCAGTTAGGGCAACAAATACATGTCAGCTATGGCGGGTGCTACTCATCTGGGTTGGATTTGACTTGATGGCTCAGAAGCAAAAGGCTAATAGCAATTCCCTGAGCCAGGTGGTCCCCCTAGAGCTGCACTGTGTGCATCCCGCAGGGACAGCTGGCTGCCCAAGCTGCTCTCTGTTGTAGCCCTTGAAGACCTTCAATAGTGACAAATACCATGAAGACTTGGAGCACTCCAATGCAGTACTCACAGCTGCTGGAGGTCGTGCAAGTTACTGAACAGAGACGGTGGAAGTTCCTCCAGCCTATTGCAAGAGAGGTCCCTGTGCAAACAGAAACAGGATTTCAGACAGCGGGCTTGGTGGGTGCAGCAGGGGATCACCCTATGCACACAAGAGAAAACCAATACACCTAGGGAGCAAATGCTAGTCCCGAGAGAGGCTCAGTGCAAGAGTAACTAGAACAGGGCTACTCAACATGTGGCCTGCTTGTCTGCAGCCTGCGGTACAGTTTGGGCTCATGCAGGGCACAACACACAGCTTGCGGCTGAAAAAAAGTAGTTAATATAATGATCTTCTGTTGAGATGCATTTAAGTAGTTACATTCCAGGACTGTCATTGCTCATTAAAAGTGCTGTTATAGGGGGTGGAAATTGGGTAAATATTTCATTTTATTAACAGCAGAACTGACTTAAAAGGGGCCTGTGTGTTGTGTAGTCTTGCCTTAATGTTTGTATACATGCCCATCAGTGTGAAATAAGCTATTTGCATATATATTTGCATGTACATGCAACCACACTTAAGTTGCGGCCCTCGGCATGTGCTGTGAGTATCATTGTGGGCCCCGGGACTTCCAAAGTTGAGTAGCTCTGAACTAGAACATTGCAGGGCAGGGCATGTTCAGGTGCTTGCTGAGCTCGGTGTAGGTGGGCGGGAGTGGGAGCAGGCAAAGCATAGCAAAAGGTTAGTGCAGGGTGCTTGGCAGAGCTGAGTGGGGACTCCAGGACTGGAACAGCAGGCAGTGTTGTGGGTTAGGCTTGTGGTGCATTAGAACATAACAGCCAGCCTGGGTCAGACCAATGATCCAGATAGCCCAGCATACTGTCTTCTGACAGGGTATGTCTACACTGCATTCTTCTTTCGAAAGGGGAATGCAAATGCAGACAAATGAAATAGCAAATGAAGTGGGGATTTGAATTTCCCGCACTTCATTTGCATAATCGTGGCCAACCGCTTTTTCGAAATACCCTATTTCAAAAACAAAAACAAAAAAAACCCACTGTGTAGACTGGGTTATTTCTGGAAAAAACCCTTCTTTCAAAATAACCCTTACTCCTTATAAAATGAGGTTTAAGGGTTATTTTGAACGAAGGATTTTTTTCTGGAAATAATCCCGTCTACACAGTGGGTTTTTTTTTAAATAGGGTATTTTGAAAAAGCAGCCGGCCACGATTATGGAAATGAAGCGTGGGAAATTCAAATCCCCGCTTCATTAGCAATTTCGTTCGGCTGCATTTGCATTCCTCTGTCGAAAGAGGAATGCAGTGTCGACATACCCACAGAGTCCAGTGCCAGATGCTTCAGAAGGAACGAACAGAACAGGCAATCAAGTGATCCATCCTCTGTCATCCAGTCCCACCTTTTGGCAGTCAGAGGCTTAGTGACGCCCAGAGTGTGGGGCTGCATCCTGGATCATTTTGACAAAGAGCCACTAATGAACCTATTGTCCCTGAAATTATCCAGTTTTTTTTTTTTTTAACCCTATTATAGCTTTGGATGTCACAAGATTTCCTGGAAACAAGTCCCGTAGGCTGACCGGGCATTGGGTGAAGACATACTTCCACTGCCTCTTATTTTCATTGTGTGACTCCTAGAGCTTGTGCTATATGAAGGCACAAATAACACTTCCTTCTTTACTTTCTCTACACTGGCCGTGATTTTACTTATAGTCCTTTATTGCATCCCATCTTAGTTGTCTCCTTTCGTGTCTTTTAGCATCTTCTTAATCTCTCCTTTATATGAAAGCTGTTCCATAATAATTTTTCTTGATCTTCTCTGTATTTTTTCCAGTCTTTTCAATATATTTGAGATGGGCTGACTAGAACTGCATACCGTATTCTAGGTACAGGGGTTACATGTTTATTAGATGCATTTTTTTCTGTCTTATCTGTCCTTTTCCTAATGGTTCCTAACATTCTGTTGGCTTTTTTGACTGCTGCTGCATATCGTGTAGAGGTTTTCAGAGAATTATCCACTATGACTCCGAGATCTCTTTCTTGAGCAGTAACAGCTAATTTAGAGCCCATCGTTTTGCAGGTATAATTGGGATTATACTTTCCAATGCACATTACTTTGCATTTCTCAACATCAGTCAGTCACCTAGTACAATGCACATTACTTTGCATTTCTCAACATTGAATTTCATCAGTCAGTCACCTAGTATTGTGAGATCCCTTTGGAACTCTTCACAGACTTAACTATCTTAAGTAATTCTGTATCTGCAAACTTTGCCATTAGGACCTCACTGTTTCTCCCACTTTTCCAGATCATTTATGAACATACTAGTATTGCCCAGCCTAGGGATGAGTTTATCAGTTACCGTAACGGTTACACGCCAGCTCCTGGCCCTGCTCCCAGGGAGTTGGCTGCCACCCTGCACTGCTGGTTTTGTATCAGAACCCACAGTGCAGGGCGGCAGCCGACTCCCCAGGACCAGAACTGGGAGCAGGTATGCACCGGAGACAGCTTAAAAGATGGCTCCCGCTTGCTGCCCTGCTCCTGGGGAGCCAGCTACTTCCCTGTGCTGCAAGCTCTGCAGTACAAAAGCTTATACTGCAGAGCCCACGATACAGCCGGCTCCCCAGGAGTGGGGGCAGGAGCCAGGAGCTGGCTCCCAGCACACACTGGCTGCTAGCCCTGCTCCTGGGGAGAATGCTTCACTGTACACACTGCAGTATAAGCCTTATACTGCACAGCCTACAGTGTGTATCTCTGTAACTGCTAAGATTTTTAATGCTTATACAGTTACCTTGTGAATGGTTTTTTAACATCCCTGTGTGGGACTGCAGGACAGGAACAGCAAGGGTGCTAGAGGTAAGGAGTGAAGAGCATCAGCAGAGCTAGGAGAAGGGTAAGCTTGGATCCACCCGCTAGCACTATAGCCAGCAATATCAGTGTTTCCCTTTCATACGTATCAAAGACCTGTACCTGTAAGTGGAGCAGCCAAGCTGCCCAGTGTCAGGCAACTATTCACCAAGGGTGTGTCTAGACTACATGCCTCCGTCGATGGAGGCATGTAGATTAGACAGATCGGCAGAGGGAAATGAAGCCGCGATTAAAATAATCGCGGCTTCATTTAAATTTAAATGGCTGCCCCGCTCTGCCGATCAGCTGTTTGTCGGCAGATCGGGGCAGTCTGGATGCGCCGCGTCGACAAAGAAGCCTTTCTTGATCAGCACAGGTATGCCTCGTGAAACCAGGTTTACCTGTGCCGATCAAGAAAGGCTTCTTTGTCGACGCGGCGCGTCCAGACTGCCCCGATCTGCCGACAAACAGCTGATCGGCAGAGCGGGGCAGCCATTTAAATTTAAATGAAGCCGCGATTATTTTAATCGCGGCTTCATTTCCCTCTGCCGATCTGTCTAATCTACATGCCTCCGTCGACGGAGGCATGTAGTTTAGACGTGCCCCAAGAGAAGAAGCACAGAATAGACTCCCCACAGGATCATGAGCAAATCACAATCTAGGCAGTGGGCATCTTTTGCCCTCCATCTACACAAAGACGAGCGCTCGCAAGCACTGACACCCTGTGGACCCTGGGGAGGGCACTGCATCTGGGCACGTCAACAGCGAGACTTACAGCTCCACCAGCCTGTTCAGCTTGGAAAACGTCCCTTCCTCAATCCACTTGATCTGGTTTCTGCGCAGAACCCTGGAGGGGGAGAGAGACAAGCAGCCCTTCATTTCCTAGTTACTTCCCAGAACGCTGAGGACCTTGGACCTGAAGATCTGGACACTGCAATGCCGAGAGGCGTATTTGAAGCCGCGCCCTCAGGCTTTCCCTCCTCTTTCTGGAGCATGGGGTTCGTGCTTAGCTTGCGACAGTGCCCTGACCCACTCTCATGGGCCCAGACTCCACACCCATATTTGGAGGATTCAGCGTCTGCTCACAACAAATCATAGAATCAGATGAGTCCAAGCCCCAGAAGAGAATCTGTCAGCGGACCCAGCCTGAGCCAGGGAGGTCATGTGGCTAAAGAGAGCGTGAGAAAGACACAGGGAGAGATGCAAGGGGTGTGAAACAAACAGAGCTCCCAGTGCAACCTGACACTGCACAGAGCTCAGCTGGCTACAAATCCAGTTCAGAACTCAGGAGGGCTCATTGTCTGTGACCTGAGAACCCGTGGCATGAACGTCTGTGTCCCATACTCAATGAACCCTGGGTTTCCAGTGCAACCACTAGCCATGTTACTTAATGAGGAGGCAGCTTGGAGGGAGTTTCAGTGCAACTGCTGGATTTGACCCCTCAGGCCCTACAGGCGAAAACAAGGGAGGGATCGAAACTGAATAACGTGTGCACATAACTTCCCGAATCCCCGAACGTTCGTTCATGGCTCCAGCAGAGAACCGGCACTGCTGCGCCTGGAGGATATTTCCAGACCCCTCACACACAGCTCAGCTCTCAGGGCTCAGGTCCCGCACTGCATGTAGTTTGCTGCTGGCCATTGCGTGTGTTTGTCATCCATGAAAGGTCTTCTTCAGCCCAGTCTATGGCGGCCTTAAATCAACGCCCACCCACAGGGAGTGCATGGGAATGCGGCACTGGGAGCAGCCTTAGTCCTTGCCAAGCATTCAATCAAGGAATGAGAGACTGACCCTCACCCCTTAATTGCGAGAGCCTCAGTAGCACCAGCGCATCGCTGTGCTGGGATAGTTGCAGGGAGGAGGCAGGGTGAGGGGAGGAGCGCTGGGCTGGGGTGGGAAGGTTCTTCCCACTGTCCCACTCCACCCTGTAAACCGGCCTCTTTTTGTCTGTTTCTTCTCCTCCTAAAGCTGTCACTTGTGCCAGTGTTATTGGCAGGGCGTGTTTATGCCTCCCATCTGGCCCCGGCTTATGTTTCCATGACGCTGACATAACAGTCCTGAGAAACAGTCCTGATCAAAGGCAAAAGTGCCTGGCTGCTTGGCTTCAAGGAAGCATTACACTGGGAGAGGGAGCCCCTCTCTCGCCTCCTAGCTGTAGTGGCAGGGGACAGAGAAAGTCCTGGAAGGGAAAAACAGGGCTCAGCATCTTGGCTAAAATGTCTAAGAGCCTCCTCTGTGACCTGTGCAGGCTGCACCAAGGAGCCGTACCCAGCCTTCTGCAGCTGAACATACCTGGAAGGTCCTCCCATGTCATTGGGTCATTTGCAAAAGTACCAAGGCGGGGCAGGGTAGGGCCGGGTGGGGACACTGAAGATGGATTACTGATACTTTAAGAATCTTCAGTCTGCAATTTAGCCCCCACGCCACATACTCACGAGTCTCCACCTCATTTGGACTTGCCCACAGATGCGCTGGGAGTACCAAGGGGTTATAGTGGGAAGGGCACTGTGAACTGCCCTGTTCTGAAGCTGCATGCCAGAGAAGACGGGCAGGTTCCTAGCAAGGGAAGGGAAGTGCTGGAAGGCTGCTATTTCAGTGAAGACCGTACTGCTCCCTGCTTTGGGACTCGCAAGGGAAGGGAAGTGCTGGAAGGCTGCTCCCTGCTTTGGGACTCCCCCACTACACACACTACAAAGCCAGGGGCTCACATAGGGTCTGGCCGCACTGCAAGCAGATACCCATTACTGGCCAGTTTCAGGGACTGGCAGCGTTCAGGCTGTTTGTTTGCAGTGTAGACGCTGAGGCTGTTCTTGGACCTTCCCCCTTCACAGGGTCCCAGAGTCCACGCACCAGCTTGAATGGCTACACTGCAGTTAAACACTCCCTTAGCTCGAGCCCCGTCAGCTGGCATGAGCCAGACACAGGGGAGTAGCTTCAGGGGAGACACTGCCAGGAAGTAAACCCCAACTTCAGTGCCAGGGAGCTGAACCCCAATTGGCTTGGCGTAGACAAGAGCTCACAGGAGCCAAGTCCTGGCAGGAGCACAAAGGGGCAGAGTCTGGGCACCAGACCCAGAGAGAGCACAGGACTCTGGATACTGAGTTCTGGAATATGCTGCCAATGCTCCATCAGCTGCAGGGTTGTTCACGTGGTGCTGGGTGCCTGGGAAAGCTCAGAATTACTAGGATTCATAGTAATATAGAAATACAGAGCTGGTGGGACCTGGAGAGCTCATCTAGTCCTAGCCCCTGCACTGAGGCATTTGGAAACATCTGGGCTCACTCAGAAAATGCGGCGGAACTGCATCCACTCCTGTTTCCTTGCCTTGCCACTCAGCACCACGAACATGCCTTTGGAAATTAGCTCTCTGAGAGCACCGGCCACAACAGGACCCAAGCGGTGCTGCTGTGTTTCAGTGGCGACCTGGACTAACAATAACATGCTAGCTGGAACCGTGCTTGCTTACTGCTCGGAGGGCTTGACTTGTGCACCGCACGCAGGCCAAGAAAGCACCTGGTTTGCGTAGCCAGTCACAACAGCAGCCCACCCAGGCTGGCTGCGCTGTGGCAGGCCTAACCACTTCTAAACCGCGGGGCCGCCATTTGCTCATGCAGGTGCCTCAAGTCAACCACAAGTAACTGATGAAAAGCGGGCTGGTTTCCGAAGCACCTGAAGTGCTCAGTGACTTTAGTGGCTAATCAGCCATTCTTTGAAATGCTGTATCAGGCCCATCATCTGAGGCTCTCAAAGCGTTTCACAAGAGTGAACATCCCTCTGGGCATCAGACCAAGGCTGTGTCTAGACTGCAGGCTTCTTTCGAAAGAGCCTCTTTCGAAAGATCGCGTCTAGACAGCAGGCGGATCTTTCGATAGAGGAAATCCGCTTTTTCGAAAGAGAGCACCCAGCGAGTCTGGATGCTCTCTTTCGAAGACGGCCTCTTTACATTGTAGAACGCCTTCTTTCGAAAGAGGAACTTTTGAAAGAAGGCGTTCTTCCTCGTGAAACGAGGTTTACCGCCATCGAAAGAAAAGCCGCGTTCTTTCGAAATAATTTCGAAAGAACGCGGCTTGAGTCTGGACGCAGGGGAAGTTCTTTCGAAAAAAGGGTACTTTTTTCGAAAGAACCCCTGAGTGTGGACACGGCCCAAGTGACCTAATGGATCTCTGCCATCTCCAACAGCCATAGCTCCAAGATTAGTTATTTAAGCCACCCAAATCCCTTGCCAGGTGAGTGAGTAAATAGGTGCATCAAGCTAAAAATAAGGGGACTTACTTGGGAATTAGACCATTGTTAACACAGCTCCATAACCACACTTGGGAAAGGGAAACTGGCCCAAGGATACAGGCGGGGTCATGCCAAAGCCACATAGCAGATACAGTTCAATAAGCTTTGGATTGACGCCCCTGCTCCGAACTGACAGCTTTGGAAAAGGATCCAGTGATGCATTCCCAGTGCCCTGGATAGCAATCATCCCTCATTCTCCACTGCACATTCCATTCCTTCTTTTCACACCACTGTCCCATGACAATTTGTAGCTTGTGTATATGAACAACATATCTATGGCCTGCTAATTTATTAGCTTTATCTTGCAGCGCTCCAGGAGTTGAGCTATCTGGGGAATATATAAACATCATGTTTAGGAAAACTAGACTCTGGGACAGGGCTGTATAGTCTCTGGAGAATTCCTGGGCTTTGGCAGCTCCTGGAAAGCACCCGCACTATAGCTTAGCACTGCAAACACTGCAGGCCAGACATGAAACTGACCAAAAACAGGCTTTAGGGATGTGGGGCAAAAAAGAACAGGCAGGTGTTTAACAGGCTGTGGTCTTATTAGGGCAGGCTTCATACTTTTCTTCTTTAAATGACAAATGTAAAAGGGGTTTTAGTGCTAGTAAAAGGTTCTGAGTAGACCGTGAATCCTTTTACACCCAAAGCAGTTACGTGGCAGTAGAAAAGTCAGCTATCGCTACACACCACCCTCTGCCTTTGCCTGCATCCAAGGACACTAACTCACTCTGCATGGTTTGTGATGTGGAGAGGTGTTAATTATGCACTGGACTGACACTAAGAGCCTACCAAATTCATGGTCCATTTTGGTCAATTTCATGGTCTTAGGCATTTAAAAATAGTAAATTTCATGGTCTCTGAAACTTCACTGTGTCGTAATTGTAGGGGCCCTGACCCAAAAAGAAGTTGTTGGGGATCACAAGATTTTTGTTGGGAGTGTTGCGGTACTTCTACTCTTACTTCTGCATGGCTTCTAGCACCGCCTGGTATCGCCACTCTAACTCCTGCTCTGCTGCCTGCAGAGCTGGGCCCTTGGGCTGCAGATACTACTCTTCGGCTGCCTAGCACTGAAGGCAGCAGCCCAGGAGTAAGGGTGGCATGATATGATATTGCCATCCTTACCTCTGCACTGCTGGGGGCAGGGCGCTGACTTCAGGGCAGGGCACCCAGACAACAGCCACCAGTCTCCAGCCACCCAAGCAAGGGTGCCAATACCACAACCACTCTAAAATAATCTTGAGAGCCTCCTGCAACTCCCTTTTGGGCCAGGAGTCCCAATTTGAGAAACACAGGTCTCCCCTGTGAAATCTGTATAATATAGTACCTTGTAAAAGAACACAAAGGACTGGTGGGTGTGTGCAGCTGTGTGTGTATCATTTTTCATAGCTGGGAATTTGGTAGGGCCTTACTCGTTATTGATCTGAGCAGATGTCAATGCAATGAACTGGAAGTGAAATTGCTGCACCTCATTATTAAGTATAAATGCAGATTTATGACATATTTAAATACCACAAAACTGTCAATGTTGTTGCTGTTTATGGCTTGTGTGCCTTAACATGGATTCAAGGTGCCAGATCTACAGTAGGGACAAAGTGACTTGGCTCTGCCCAGGAGACATAAGGATCTTGCACAAAAGGGTTTTTTTGCATAAGACAGAAGCGGCTAAACTGTTTCTTTTTGCACAAAAACCCCTTGGCTGTGTCTAGATTGGCCAGTTTTTCCGGAAAATCAGCCACTTTTCTGGAAAAACTTGCTAGCTGTCTACACTGGCCACTTGAATTTCCGCAAAAGCACTGACGATCTCATGTAAGATTGTCAGTGTTCTTGCGGAAATACTATGCTGCTCCCATTCGGGCAAAAGTCCTTTTGCACAAAATTTTTGCGCAAAAGGGCCAGTGTAGACAGTCCAGATTTGTTTTCCGCAAAATGGCGATTGGGGCTTTTTTGTGGAAAAGTGCATCTAGATTGGCACGGATGCTTTTCCGCAAAAAGTGCTTTTGCAGAAAAGCATCCGTGCCAATCTAGACGCTCTGTTCTGAAAATGCTTTTAACAGAAAACTTTTCCGTTAGAAGCATTTCCGGAAAATCATGCCAATCTAGACGTAGCCCTTGTGCAAAAAGCATCAGCAGAAAATATGCTAATGACATCGCGACTCATGCTAACAAGTCCCTCATTAGCATATTTTCTGCCACAAAAACTTGCAGTGTAGACATAGCCAATGTTGAGAAGCAGGCCCACGATCTCTGGTGTTAGATCCGATTCCGTGAGGACTGGACCACGTTCACAGCACCACGTGCACGTCCCAGCAGATTTCTCCCATCAGGTGAGGGTTGAAGGTGTGACTCCAGAGCCACTCCACATCCCACTCTCCCCCAAACTTGGGGTATGCCAGGCGCAGGGTTGGTACTCACAGCACAGTGAAGGTGCTGCATTCCTGGAACACTGAGCTCCTCAGAGCACGGATCTGGTTTCCTTCCAGCTCCCTAGAGAAAGAGAAGAAGCTGAGTTTCCTTGGATAACAATCCTCCACCTTACTGATCCCTCTCTGAGCTAAATGTCCCCTGCCAGATAAAATGTCACTTCTTCTTGGAGCCTATCCCAATGCTACCTGTAAGCACACAGCTCCTGAGCCAGGTGCATGGCAGGGGTGTGAGAAATGACTCCACAGGTCATCTTCTCAGGTCCTGCTTTCTGTGTCATTATCAAAAACCCCACTATCCCCCCGTCTGCCAGCTCACGACTTCTCGTTGTTTCCTCTCTCCCATCGGGGCTCTCACTGGCCCTTCAGTTCTTCCTCTCCACCTGTTCCCCTCCCTCCCCTCTGCTAACACACCTTTGCTTGTTTCTTGCCTGCTGCAGCCTTCTCCTCTCTGTCCTGCCCCGGTCTAGCCAAACTGCCCCAAGCTAACTGCTGCTCTCACCACATCTACCCTGCAGAATACTAAAAAAGACCGATGCTTCTCCTCTCCCCTCCTCTCCTCTCTCCTGCTCTGGGAATCTGCCCTCCCTGCCCCCCCTTCCAAGCTGCTTGCAAGATTGCCAGGCAGGCCTGGGCCGAGGAGCCTGTTCATTACTCTGGCTAACCCAGAGACAACAGATCTCCACACCAGCGTGGGGACTCACAGCCAGCTGAGCTTCGGCATTTCTGCACAGATGGAAGTGTTGGGCATGCTGCTCAGGGAGTTGTTCAGCATGTACCTGGGTGGGAAGCAATAAGAAAACCTGTAGTACTGCCTAGCACGTGTCCAACACACACGACTTGTGGTAACACCCAGGAGATGCACTGCCCTCCTGTGCTCCCGCCAACATTTCGATTGCTAAATAAGGTGCTTCCTCACGCCCCTTTCCTGTTCCTCGAGGTGGCTTCCCTGTATCCCCTCCTCTTGCAGGCACCGGTTGCCCATCAGGCACTATATTCATGGTCCTCTCACTAATGCAATTTATCATCTGGGCTGAGTAGAATAAGTGCAACAATTCACTAGGCCTGTTCTCGCAGTCTGTCTGCCACAGCCAGCCCTCCGACAGCTCCCATTATATCCGGGAGCCACACCCACTGTGACTGGAGATGACTGGTCACTCATCCAATCCATTGCACAGCTACTAGTGGTTGCTGTTAGCATCACTTATTTTCTTTAGGCTACTGACAGATGACCACAGCTTAACCACAGCCAAAGCTGAACTGCAAACACTGCAAAGGGAGTTTGGGGGTTCCCGTGGAAATAATGGTGCATGAGTATGTGATGACAGACGGCAGCCTAATTCATGCACACTAGAGGGCCAGAATCAGTTGCATGGACAACCCATAGTAATTGCAGGAAAAGCCCTGCTTGGTCTCTGCAGCCTAGGCTGAAGCATGCTTGCTGCAGACAGCATCTTCGGGGCATGGAACTCCCCAACTCTAGCAAGGCTCTACCAAGTAGGTGGGAGCTGAATTGGCTAAATGTGGGTTGATTTTCACAAGAACATGAGAAGACACATCCCTGCCATGTCCCCGCTCCAGGGCATGGAGGTGTGAGAGCGTCTCACTGAAATAGTGGTCGGAATAGTTTTTAAGACGGGCAAAACAAAGCTTTCCCCCTCGTCTTGTTCTGATGAATGGCTGAACCATTTTTGCTGAAATGTCCCAAAAACACGCTCCCTGAAGCACACACCTGGCATGGAAAATTTCAGACAAACAATGAAAGTTTGGCAAAGTTACAATTAATGAAAAGAGGGTTGTACAATGTGAAGTGGTGGGCAACAGATATAGGTGGCACCAGCAGCTCAGCCTATAATTACTTGCCAGACACTTCACTCTGTATGCAGGCAAACCTCTGAGTGGAGATTTGCCTGCATTAGACAGAATAATAGCAGTAAGATTCAACCTTAAATAGAGTGCAGCAACGGAAAGGAATGGTACAGAGTGGTGTCTCTCAACCATGGGAGCATTATGGGGAGAAGGTCACTCAAATCTGACAATGCAGGAAGGGGTCACAAACATTGACAATTGTATTACTATCTAAAGCAAAGAAAATCCAGCTTTTCCAGTCCTCACTCCCTTTTCCTTCAAGGCATTCTGTCAGCTTCTTGATACATACACATAAATTGTATCTCCAAAGCAGGATAGCTGGTACATCTTCATACTCTTATTTTTATAGTAACTGTAATGAGGTCATGACAAATGTAAGTAAGAGTTCACCAGCTTGAAATGGTTGAAAAACATTGGCTAGGAGGGGAACGAAAGATGCAACATCAGGGACATTATGAAAGAGGGAAAACATATGCCCCAGAGAACTGGCTTGAGACTTACAGAAAGTACAGTGATTTCAACCCCTCAAAAGTTGCTGGGAGGATCTTGGCGATTCTGTTGTTATCCAGCATTCTGGAAAGAGAAGAGGGGATGAGCCAGATGAACAGTCTTTAAATGAAGAGGCAACTCCCTAGAAACAAAGTTATGTGGGGCTCTATTAAGTTAGGAAGGTGCGATTGTCTCCCGGGCTTATAATTAGCTCTTAAGTTGTCCCTGCGGGAGGTGGTTTCTTCCTTTTCTCACTGACATCTCAAGTAACAAAACATATAGATGGTATCATGAGCTTTCGTGGGCACAGACCACTTCTTTAGATGACCGGCTGTGCCCACGAAAGCTCATGATACTATCTACATGTTTTGTTAGGCTATAAAGTGCTACCAGACCATGTGTTGTTTTTTCTGTACAGACTAACTCGGCTACCCCCTGAAGCATCTCAAATAACATCAGCTTCCTCCTCTCTTGCATGCCCTTTCTCTCCCCTGTCTTCTCCGCCAGCCCACTCCAGGGAAGAGGAGTACATAGATCACCCATTTGAATTTCACCCCAGAACATTCTGGCTCATGTGCTTGATCTGAATTCAGAGTCTGGCTTCTTTCACAATCTGGGGACTGCTGAGCTTTTTTCTCTTTTGCTACAAAATAAATGATACATTAAAAGGCCACTTAATGAATCTGAGATTTAAGGGCATGTCCGGCTCCCCCAAAGATTCTGTGGTTGATTGATACCCTGGACCACCCTGAGGCTACAGCTACACTGCTGTTTTTTTCCTGAAGAAGTTATGCAAATCACGCTCGCAATTTGCATATCTTCTTCTGATTCTTTTTGTGGAAGAGGTTTTGCAGATATTTGGCCCTGCGTAGACAAGGCCAAATGTTGGAAAAATAATCTCTTTCATCAACCTCATAAATCAAGGTTTACAGGGTCTTGTGAAAGAGGGTTTTTTTCCGCCATTTGGCTGGCCAAATATTAGCAAAACCTCTTCCGCAAAAAGAATTGGAAGAAGATATGCGAATACGAGCGTGATGTGCATATCTTCTTCTGAACCGCCCCCCGCCAGTGTAGCCGTAGCCAGAGTGAGCTGCTCCTCAGGGTTTTTTCTAGGCTATTTAAGGGAGCAGTTGGTTGATCATGTGGTAAATTATGACAGGAATCTGAAAGGCTGGGAAGTTCTCTCTCCAGGATGTTAAGCTCAATAAGGCAGCCATCTTGCAAATCAGGCATTATTGTTCCACCTCTCCAGTGACCCCTTTATGAGCTCCATACACAGCACCACGGGACCCTGAAGAAGAACCGCCCCAGATGGGGTTAACTTGGCCCAAGCCATGAAGAGCTGACTGGCAGGAATAGCACTTTTGGAACATTGGTTTTCAATGTGGTGGGTGTGTGAAGTCAAAGTGGCATGTCCCATTTCAGGGCTCACCAATACACCTCAGTCCGGACCAGCAGCAGCCCTTGTTAATCCAGCACTGTATCATACAGAATTCTCCCTAAGGCCTATAATTATAACCTGCAAAACCGCCCCTTACCCCCTCTGCTATTCCAGTCCTTGGCCTCCTGAGTAGAGAATTATATAGACACATCTCTACTAGGGACTAGACTGAAAAAAGCTAAGTGTGTTATCCCCCTGAAACATCCCAGGCACAGGGTTCTCAGTTATGGCTCTTCACCTATTTCCCAGGACCACATCTTTTGAGGCCAGAGACTTCCCTAGTCTGACCTGAGCTTTGTCAATGCCACGAGGGATCAGATCCAATGGGATAGACCCAGACACCATGTGAGATTGTGTCGCCCTGTTCTCATGCTGACAGGTATAAGGCTGGGTTAGGACAGATTCTGTTCATGTGGAAGGAAGGAAATTGGAGTGGCTCAAACACACCTCCTCCCCCACGTGGGGGGTGGCAGATCCTGTAAAGCAGTGGGCTCCAAGCTTTTTAAACACAAGATCACTTTTTGAATTTAAGTATCATGTAAAATCTACCTCAAACCCAAATGCCCTTGCCTCACCACCTTCATGTCCTTTCTCTGAGGCCCTGCCACTGCTCCCTCCATCCTCCCTCTCTTCCCCATCTTCCCTCCCTTTCACCAGGCAGGGGCAGAGGGTTGGGGTGCAGGCTCCGGTCTTGGGCTACGGGATTTGGAGTGTGAGGGGCTCTGGGCTGAGGCACGGAGTTGGGGTACAGAAGGGGGTTCAGGGTGCAAGCTTTGGGAGGGCGTTTGGGTTTAGGGGGCTCAGGACTGAGGCTTGGGGTACAGGAGGGGGTTCATGCCTGGGGCAGGGGTTCGGAGCTGGTTCCAGCTGGACACTGCTTACCTCAGGTGGCTCCTGGGTGGTGGTGCAGTGGGGTTGGCCCAGCACCACTCCCAAAGGCAGCCAGCAAACTCTCCTCCAAGCCAAGCCAAGCCAAGCCCTGTTGTACCCTCCCCCCTGTTCTGTAGAGATAGAATACAGCGTGGGAGAGGGGGCACCCTGACTTCAGCGACCCCTCTTCTCCCTTCCCTGCTCTGTACCACAAGCAGGAGGCTCCTGGAGGGGGGCAGCTCCAAGGCAAAGGGCAGGAGATGCACAGCAGTGAAGGGAGGCGGCAGCTGAAGTGCTGCACTTGATAGCCTCTTGGCCAAACCAGTCAGGATCGCCTGTTAGAGGCTCCAAGAGCTACCAGTGGATCCTGATTGGTGACCACTGCAAGAGAAAGGCCGGGAGAGCTCCCAACGTGCTGCACATTTGGAAAAACAAAACTCATTATAGCAGAGTAAACAGTCACCTTCTCTTTGTGGTGATCAGTGATGTCACACGCCAGTGACATAACACACACCCATGTGTGTCTGGCGGAGGCCTATGAGCTTGGCTCAGCGAAACAGGATTAAAGAATGCCCAAGCTGGCAGGAAAAGTGAGCTCAGGAGTCTCGTCAGCACATCAGGTGGCATGCCAGGGGGTTTAACCCACCACATTTCCCACTCTCCTCCTGTGTTCCCTGTTAACATCCACGTGCCATTCAATTAACATCCTTTAAGTCTACAGCCTTGTCGCAGGTTGGGGGCTATTCCATCTTTACAAAAAGAGGAGTCTTTTGATTTAAGAACTGAAGCTGGAGAGCAGAATTTCATGCCTGAGACCCTGGAGCAAGTTTATGCCACAGATCAGAGATGTCAAGCATGAAAAAAGTGGATACGCCCTGCCTGATTTCCTTCCTGAGGCCACTGTAAGTTAGCGCGCTTAACTACACTCACCAAGGGTTTGCTCGGTCTCCTTCTCAATGTCCCAAGCAACTGGGCCCTTACTGCTTCTATTGGGAAGAGACAATTGCCTGGCCTAATGAATTCCACACCTTGAGCATCAGTTTTGATATTCAGACTAACCTGCCTTAAAAATCAATTCTAACTCCTCATTCCTCAGAGGCACCCCTGCAGACATACCACCTGAAGAAGCACTTACAGCCATTCAAGATGATGCAGGTCCTGGAAGACTCTTGGATTCAGTTCAGTGATTTTATTGTAGCTCAGGAACCTGGAATTATTAAAGGAGAAGAGACGTGACCTTGGGTTGATGCTGTTCATTAAACTGGTTTCCATTCATCATCCATTTCCCCCAGCGATGCCCATAAACCTTCCTTACTTTAGGGGCGTGAATGGGGAGCTCCTCAAGTCAGGTGCAAGCCTGATTTGGAATGAATGATGGGGGAGGGGAATGTGAGGCAGAAACATCTGGAAGAGGCAGGAGTCCTCACTCTAGGTGCTCTAATTTCAAACATGGTCCTTCCTGGGGAAGGAGGGTGCATTTTGTTTAGCCACACATCTCCAGAGGGGCTGCTGCCCAAGAAAAGCAGGAAAAAGGCATTAGAGCCCCATGTCTTCAGACGGCATTCATTCCGACATTACAATGAGCTGCCTGGGATAAGCAGATAAGTCTACACTAAACGGCATTCATTCCGACATTACAATGAGCTGCCTCGGATAAGCAGATAAGTTTACCCTGCTGCTTTACTGCACTGCAACTTTCTGGCTCAGCAGTGTAAAAAAACACCCCTGCAAGCCCTGCATGTTAGAGCTCTGTAACTGAGCTCCTAGCGCTGTTAGCTACTCCCCTTATGGAGGTGGTTTACAAAGGGCGCTGGGAGAGCTCTCGCTAAGCACTCCTGGCATACTCCCCTCATGGAGGTGGTTTACAAAGGGCACTGGGAGAGCTCTTGCTAAGCACTCCTGGCACGGCCACACTTTCAGTGTTAAGCACTGCCTCAGCTGTGCTTTAATTGTAGAAGTGTAGACAAAACCTGAGACTGTCGATAACCTCCCCACCCATCCTGTGACCCACAAGAGGAAAACCTTCTACTCACAACATTTTCAGCTTGGAAAGTCCAGCAAAAGCATAGGGCGGTATTGACTGGATTTTGTTGTGCTGCAAGAGGCTGTTTATAAACAGAACAGAAATATCATAAGATGAAGGTGGTTTCCAGTAATGACTCAAACGTGTATCTCTTCAGCAGACATACAGAGCGCTGGCAGCCCTATCCCCTCCTCCTCCCCGAGAGATCAGGACTAAGAAATGAAACATACAGCACTCCCATCTCAGGATCCCAGGGAGTAACAGATCAGCCCCGGGAATGGATTTAGGGGAGCACAGGGAATGAACTGCAGTGAAGAGGGGAGACACTCTGATGGATAAGAATACAGGACTGGGAGTCAGGAACTGTGGGTTTTATTCCTGGCTTTGTTAACAGGCTTCCTGTGCAAATTTGGGAAAGTCACTGCTGCTTTCTCTGCCTCAGTTTCCCCATGGGAGGGAAATAAAGACGAAAGAACAAATCCTTGGAAATCATTAATGGCAGCTCTGAGATCCTGGTGCACTAGAGACAAATGCTCTATGGTTGTTATTATTATTACTACTACCATGTGGAATGCTAGGCCAGGATCCAATCTGAAAGAATAAAAATCTGTTCTCTTATGTTCTGAGTGATCTCAGATCATACACCCATTGACTGTGTCATCCTGGAAATACCTTGTTTACCCAAAGGAAATGGTGTGTAGAAAAGATTTGCCAGAACAGAAAGCTGTTTGCTGCTCTTTGTTCTGTCATGTAACACTCATTCTGGTCTCTGGACTGCCAGTACCCATGCCTGTGATGTGTGCAAAATTCTGATAGGTCACTCTGATTCCTGATCCTCTACTTAGCACGTGACAGAGGCAGCAGTGTTGTTAGGGTTCATGATAGCTAGGAAATTACCACTGATTTCAATGGGGGCCTTGCAAATACACAGACATCTACTTTATATCTGTGGGTATTCACATTCACAGATGTGGATTCAGATATCCATAGATCACTTTTGCAGATATGGATATAGATACGAAGTGTGGACCTGAGCAGGACTCTATCAATGGGAGAGAAACAGAAGCACTGATAGCCAGCCAACCCCAACCCTGTGATGAATAACTAGAGAGCCACTGTAAACAAGGGGTTACTCAGCCCTCCTGCTTTCTCTGCTTCGCTGACGCTGAAGCCAAACACTCAAGTATTAAAATGAGAAAAGCTGTGGTCCTGCCAGGCTGAAGAAATCAAGATCATTATCTCTTGCTAGCCAAAGCTGGCCCTACAAAATATGTGCTCTTATTCTTTTCCATGCGGCACACTACTGAGGTGCTGGAGACTCATGTGCTACTCTTCCCCCAAATCGCCACGCCCTTGCTGATGAGCCTGCCGCTCCGAGGGGGTAGTACTTACAGCTTCTCCAGACATTTGTATCTGACAAACTGGTTGTCCAACAGTAAGTGGATTTTATTAATCTTCAGGTCTCTGGGGAGGGGGTGGAAAAAAAATCAGGGACCACCGATCAGGGTATATGTCATGAATAATTAAGAAATGCAGGTCTCTCTACTCCTAGTAGCCTTTCCCAGGTCTCCTCTTCCTGTCTTATCTGAGCAACCTGTGTGAGACGTGCGGCTCTCTGCTATCACTTACTGATCCCATTTGCCTTCAGCACTTCTTGAATTACAAGCATCATTTTTGACACCTGAGGGTGTTGAATGCTCCAATCCCTTCCATCCCCCCAATTCTTATGTACAAATGGCATTTCCATGCTTAGACTGATTAACCAGGTACACCTTGCATGCTGCTCAGGTGTTATGATCCCAAAAAGCTGCACGGCTCCAAATATTGGACATGCCATGTTTTTAGGCAATGTTTGCAGCCCCACAGAACTGTGCAATACCTCAGAGGAAAGGGGTTGGGGAAATGCAAAGGGTCCATTATTTAATGCCAATAATCCAGGTAAAGACAACAACCCAGTACAAACAAATGGATGGGAAATTCATTCAGTCTGATGTCAAAATCTCTCTCTTCCCTTCACAACAAGCACTGCAAAGGCCTTCTCCAGGGAAATACAGCCTGGAGGTTTGGCCAAAAGGTTCAGTGTTTACAAGGCATCTCTCCAGCTATTAGTGGCTCAGACCTCTCTAGCCTGGTTGGCACAGAGCACCTGGCAGAATGCAACCTCCTGGATAAGATTGTAGAGTATTAGGGAAAAGCTGGGATTTGAGCATCTGGGGGCATCCTTAATCTAAGAGATAAAGGTCTTCTTGTGATAACCCCAGACTCACCATAACAGGCACCAATTTCTGTGCATTATAGTCTCCCATACTTTGGAACTAGCTTTCTCTGAAACCTTACCACTAGGTGGCACTACCCTCTTGATGACTGATGCTATGCAGCAGTTTGGCTAAAAATGGGAACAGGGGCGAATTTCCCACAGGTTCCAATTTTGCAGAGAAAGGGACATGTTTACCCCACAGTGGTCTCTGTTACTCACAGCTTTGTCACATTGGAGGAGACCCAGGGGATGGAGGGCAAGTTCTGGCTGGTGCAGTCTATTGTCCTTCCCCAGCACTGGCATTGCTCTGGGACCTGGTCAAGCACTGGGGACAAGCACAAGGGAAACAGTGAGACTGGAGACAGACAGGATCTCAATGCATGGCTGGGTCAGTGAGCACATAAAAGATCACACAGGTGCACAGGGAGGGTCTGGACTGGTTGGGTAGATCAGGATCAAGGGGCAGAGGATGGCAGACACACAACTAAAGAGAAAAGAGGGAGTGGTGGAAGAATGGAAGAAGTGGCAAGAGGGTGGGCCGTTTTTCCGAAAAAACTTCACTTACGTCCACACTACAATCATGTTCTTTTGACAAAAAATCAAAAGAACAGAAGTGTTTTTCTGACATTGGCAAACCACTTTCTATGAGGAAGAAGCCTTTTTCCAAAAGAGTTCTTTTGGAAGAAGGAGTTGTGTGAACAGGGAAGAGGGAGTTCTTTCGCAAGAAGAGAAAAGAGGAAAAAACACAAGTGCCCTGGTGGCCATTCCACCCATAGTAATCACAGCGTAAATGTGAGATACCATCCATTCAACGTGGACACTATCTGTCGAAAAAACAGATCGCTTTTCGATGCACTTTGGCAGTGTGGATTCTCTTTCGGAAGAAGTTTTTTTGGAAGATCTCTTCTGGAAAAGCTTCTTCTGAATGAAGCCTGCAGTCTAGACATAGCTGGAGAGAATGGAAAGGGGAAGGATGGGAAGAAATGTTTTCCTGAACTTCTCAGGTAGGCCCGCTTGGGCTGGGAATCTCACAAGGCCTTGGTTGGGGTATTTCAGCACAACTAGTCCTGGCCAAAGCCCCTTGTGGGGAGTCAGGGAGGGAGAGTCAAACTCCCACAAACATGAGCAAAACTCATTCTGAATTTCGGGTTGGGCTGCAGGGTGAGATTTTACCATTGGGTCCGAGTGACAAAATTCCCAGGATCCCATCTTTAGGGCGTGGTTCAACCCCACAGGGCCACAAGGGAACACCTGCGTCATGGAGCGTCAACCCTAGCTACAGGGAGGAGGGGCTTGAGGGAGGGAAACAGGAGGCCTTGGACAGCAGCATTGAGAGGCTAGAGAAGACACAGCAGATGAGGAAGGAACACAAAGTCAGCCCCTGGAATGAAGTGCTCACCACAGTCTGGAGTCTCCTCTTTCCGAGTGGCTCTGCTGCCCTTGGTCTGCTGCATGTTGTCCAAGATCTGCAGCCACCCACTGTTATCCACTAGAAAAGAGAAGGTGGACAGCAGGTGGGTTTGTCTGGCACCTGTCTTCTCACAGCAGACTCACTCACTCCTCCTCCCCATGCCCCGCTTCCCCCAGGCTCGCTCATCTCCACTCTAATTCCTGAGGTAGGAACCGTGTGCCACCTGCTGAAGAGATGTTTACATCTGTGCTGGGCCTGAACCAAGCGCCTGGATAGGAATACCCCTGACCTTGGAGGGAGGGAATTCAGAATCTGATCTGAAGCTGGTTCTTGTAGTTCGAGCCCATTTTTATAATGTACCAAATCTTTAGGTCTGACTCCCCTGAAACACGGGGTGTCCAAACTCTGGTGCCAGCCCCATGTTAGGTGATATCGGTCCCCTTCTAGTTTATGTTAGTGCCTGCTCATTGTCCCTTTGACTCGACTGTGTCCTGAGAGATCATTCCGCTAGGACTTACATTCCTACATTCAAGGCTGGGGCAATCTCTATCTGACAATCCCTAACCCAGGTCCAACATGGTTTATTAATTACAGGGCATCTGCCTTTGTTATGGAGGCAAGAAGACAGGAAAAGAGGTGGCCAGCTACGAGGTTAGCTAATTACCACAGTTCTCTTCATCAGCTCCGTTATCACAGTCCTTCTCTCCATTGCAGTGCAGGAGCTGGGGTAGACAAACAGACAGGTTGCCACAGGGGAACTGTCCCAAGGGGCAGGCATAGCTGTCCAGCCTGGAATGTACCAGCAGAGACTCTGCCAAAGGAAAGCAAGACACAGTCAAAAACATCTTTGAACAGGCCAGTCCCCTGTCCCTGCCTACAGCTGGTTTAAGAACCACCTCGCTCCCTTGGCTTACTAGTTCTCATCTTGCCAGAACATGGTAAGTGCACATTAGCCACGTCCCACCCGGCATGACTTATCAGTGGGCTTCTATCAACACCCGTCCATCTGGAGCACGCTCCTTGATTATTCAGCTGTTTCCCAGAGCTCAGCAGGGTCAGAGAACTGCAAAGAAGAGGCACACTCTCACTTTGTGGAAGGGACTGTCGGCCCCTTACTAAAACCCAGTGGGGGTTTCTGGTTGGTTAACTCCCATTATCAAAAGGAAGGGGAAGAGTCCATCAGAAATCAGGACTCTGAGACTGACAGCCCCCAGGAAGAATGGGAAGAGGCCAGCGCTCCAGGTCAACCTGATTGACAGGGTGGGCAGCCCAACGAAGGAGTGAGGAATCTGGGGGAAAAGTCCCATCCTGAATGCTCCTATGTAGGTTGGGTTGTGCCTGAGTCAGACTGGTGGGGCCGAGCTAAGGCAATGACATGGGCCTGAGCTGGGCCTGGGGTGGGAGAAGAGGGGCTGATGCTGAGGAGAAGGATCCTGCCCCACAGAGCAAGTGTCTGACCTGCAGTATCGCTGCAGAACACCCAGGGCCTGAGGAGGCAGCCAGGGACCTACAAGGAACAGACTGAACTGTCCTAACATTGCCAAGACGCAGTTTGTGTCTCGGTGCCACAGAGCAGAGTGAAGTGTTTTCCAGTCACTTTCCTTTTTTTCCTTATTCTTTTGGTTTTTTAATTGATAGCTATTTAATGAATTGTATTGCTTTGAAGTGTGTGTAATCACCAGTCGGTCAGGGAAACAGCTAGTGAGAAGAGAGCATCCCGGCATGGGGCAACCTTAGCCCCTGTCTGAGGTAACTATAACAAGGTTGGGGGTTGAGCCCAGCTTGTTGGGGTTACGAGGGCTCTGCCATGCAGGAGAGTGGAAGGGGAGCCCTTGAGGTCAGGGAGGCCTCTGGGTAAAGGAAGTGGGAGCGGGGACTCAGTTCCTTTCACCAGACCATTTCACTGTTGTAGTGTAGGAGCCAGGAGACATTCCCCCGCTTACAGTTGTAAGAGCATGAAGCAATGTCTCACCATAGACAGGACTGAGACATCGAATAAGGTTCCCTAGCTGTCCTGCACTTCATTTGGCAATTTCCCCTCCTCCCACTCAAACGAGAAAAGAGGAAACAGAAGCAGGAGCAAATTCTGCATCTGCATTGATGATTCCATCAGGGACAGTTGGAGGTGTCTCAGAAAACACTTGCAGAAAAATCTCCATGATGAAAAGACTCCAGGCCAAGTCAGTAGTGATGGAAAGATGTGCCCATCAAACAGCTGTTCTGTGACCGAGGTGAAACACATGCCATAACATCACCAACACAGTTCATGCTGATTCTGCCACTGGGATATGGCTGTTTACATAGCACCATATAGCTTGGTGCTATATGTTATGTAAGGGCAGAGCTGGTTCACGTGGTGCGAAGCTCACTGAGGTACTATGTTCAATACAGACACAAACACACAGTCTCCTCTTGTAACATTGTTAGTTTAGTTTTAAAATCCTCATTCTCTACAGAGGAATGACCATTGAAATGCCACAGGAGAGGGGGGTGAGGAGGGATTTGGATGGTCATTGTGGCCAAAGTCCCCAGTGTTTCCTAGGAGGTTGGGTTTCAAGACAACTTGAGGGGCATCAGGAGGGGGAGCCTTGCTGTGCTTGCTCTGAGGAGAAATCAAGGCCATTGACATCCTTCCAGCATCTTTCACCACCACCACAAGAGAACGACGGAGGAGGATGTGAGCCACTACACTGTGTTCTCACCTGCGTGTCATAGCAGATCCAAAGGGTCCTGCCTCTGGGCTTCAGGTGTCAGGACTGCTCTGCATTCCTTCTGCAAGCAGGGCATGTGTGAGGTTAGGAGCTCACAACTACAGGGAAGAGAAGGGCCTTCAAGCAGGAGGTTGCTGTCACTTTGGAGTTGATGTGTTCTAAGGGGGAAGTAAAATAACTCCTGCTGGCATAGACATCAGGGCTGTGTCTAGACTGGCCAGTTTTTCTGGATGGCTGCTTGAATTTCCGCAAAAGCACTGACTTCCTACTGTAAGAAATCAGTGCTTCTTGCGGAAATGCTATGCTGTTCCCGTTCGGGCAAAAGTCCCTTTTGCGCAAAATTTTTGCGCAAAAAGGCCAGTGTAGACAGCTGAGATTTGTTTTCCGCAAAAAAGCCCCGATCGTGAAAATGTCGATCGGGGCTTTTTTTGTGGAAAAGAGCGTCTAGATTGGCCACGGACGCTTTTTCGCAAAAAGTGCTTTTGCGGAAAAGCGTCCGTGCCAATCTAGACGCTCTTTTCTGAAAATGCTTTTAACGGAAACCTTTTCCATTAAAAGCATTTCCGGAAAATCATGCCAGTCTAGACGTAGCCCAGATGTCCAGGGCTGGCCAGGTTCTATTAGGGTCATTCCCTAATGAGACACAAAGAAGTTGGAGAGCTATTCGACTGTGAAATGGTGGCTGCTGTATTATTTATGTCACTGAAAAGCAGACTGGAAAATAGCCGGTAGGGGCCTAAACCTGCATTGTCCAGGGGGCTGGACCAGGTAGAACTTAGGAGGAGAAGGAGAAGGCTGCGGCTAGATTCACTGACTGCTCCTCTAAGATGGTAGTAACCTCAGGCTACACTACAAAGTTAATTCGAACTAACAGCCGTTAGTTCGAATTAACTTTGATAGGCGCTACACACGCGAACCGCTAGTTCGAACTTAATTCGAACTAACAGAGCGCTTAATTCGAACTAGGTAAACTTCATTCCATGAGGACTAACGCCTAGTTTGAATTAACTAATTCGAATTAAGTTAGTTCGAATTAGTGCTGTAGTGTAGACATACCCAGGAAGAGGCAGAGAGGCACCCTCTGGTGGGGGACGTGACAGCTCCTTCTCCGAAGTGCTTCCAGGCCGCCCAACAGAAAGGCAGTTTGGAGCACAGACAGAATGGGGAACAGGCCTTTCCATGGAGTTAAACCAAGGAAAGCAGAAGAGACTCAGGCACGTTATTAACTACAGTCTAACAAACCGGCTTCCTAGTCCTCTGGTAAAACCACGCTCCCTGAGGTGCAGTTCACTCCCTGTGATCAGATTAGCCTCAGTCACTTAAACCTCCATTTTGCTGAGGCTTTTCCATCAAGCAGCTCTGAAACATCATTCAGAGTATCAAAGCACCCCAGCCACTCAGCTCTGTTCATTAAAATCCTGAAATTAACTGTGTCAAAAGCACTCTTCAGATCAAGCAAAATGTTTCCATGCACTCCCTTTGATCAAGGCCCCAGAAAGCTGTTATCAGTCTATTGCTATGACAGGATTGTGTGAACAGGCCTGGCTTGTCATTCAAGCTTTTCTTCTGCCGCTAACATTCCTTTGGCTGATGATCTGGGTTTATCACTGAAGATGCATCTATTAGTTGATTTCATAATCTGGGGCAGTGAGTGTCACGTCTACATGTTAGATCATTCCTCCACTCCCTCCCAACCCCAAGCCTCAAGGATTCAAGCAGGCATTTTTAGGGTACTGTCTACACTACAGAGTTTTTTTTTCAGAAAAACGGCTGTTTTTCCGAAAAACTTCACTTATGTCCACACTGCAATCGCATTCTTTTGACAAAAAAATCGAAAGAACAGAGGGGTTTTTCTGACATTGGTAAACCTCTTCCTATGAGGAAGAAGCCTTTTTCTGAAAGAGATCTTTCCAAAAAAGGTGTATGTGGATGGGGAAGAAGGAGTTCTTTTGAAAGAAGAGGAAAGAGCACAGGTGCCCTGGTAGCCACTCAGTCCCTAGTAATCACAACTTAAATGAGAGCTAGCATCCGTTCAGTCTGGATGCTATCTTTTGAAAAAGCAGATTGCTTTTTTGATGCGCTTTTGCTGTGTGGACACTTTCTTTCGTAAGAAGTTTTTTCAGAAGATCTTCTTCCGAAAGAAGCCTGCAGTCTAGATATAGCCAGAGCCAATTATGCCCTCCCCCAAGGTGAGCTGTAATAAAAAGGCTAAGAATATGGAGACAGGACTGGCAGCAGGCTCAGGGGTAAGTGATGACACATGGGATAAATCAATGTTGAAGCCAGCATTTAGGCTACATCTAGACTACAATGACCTATCGGAAAAAGATACGCAAAATGCACACCGCAATTTGTGTACCTTTTTCTGGTAGTTTTTTTGTAACGAGGCTTTTCCAAAATTTGGCCTATCTACACTGGGCCAAATTTTGGAAAATCCTTCTCTTTTGGAAGAGCCCTTCTGCCTCATGGAAGGAGGAAGACAGGGCTTCCGAAAGAGCGCATCTGCTCTTCCGCAAAAAAAGCAGACGTAGCCCCAGTCTAACGCAGTCCGTGCTCCAAGCCACTTGCAGTTTAGCTTAGAGAGCTACAATACAAACAGTCAGAAGTACTGGTGAGGCATCAGTGGCAGCCACAGTAGGTCTGTGGGGGAAGGTAAGGGGAATGAGTTTTAAAGAGAGAGCTGTGAGTGAATCTCAAAGAGGAGCTGCTTGCGAAATGAGGGAGGGCTCCAAGCAGAGGGACACTTGGCCAATCTCTGTATGGGTGGCAGGATGTAGCTAGCATGTTCTGGGCTTGGAAAGCTGCCCCATCTGCAGCCTCGTTGTTGGAGTGGTGACCTTTCTTCCCTTCCAGTACCTCTCTGCACATGGTTTTCTTTTGGGTCAGCTGCAGGGTTATTGTCAGCACCAGATTCCTAGTGGCTACCAGAATTTCTCCTGCTGATGATGAGGGAGTTTCATAGACCATCAGGTTCAGGTCACCACAATTCTGTTCACAGCATCCTCCTCACTCATGCCTCTTAGGGTACGTCTAGACTACCGCGTTTTGTCGACGGAAGTTTTGTCGACAGATACTGTCGACAAAACTTCCGTCGACAATT